ATCTCATTGCTTCCATCTCCGCAGCAGACGCCCTGTTGGGGTGGGCGCGTTCCCTGCTTTGGCTGCGATAGCGATTGTGAATTCTGCTTGAACTCGGTGGTTTCAGGGCCTCAGCGGCTCTGGCGGCCCTGTGGCCTCCTCTGGGGACTCATTTGCTGTCTTGTTGGGCCTGGGGTTGTACACCGTGCGGCCTGGCTCTCCCGTCCCGCGTTTTCTTCACTCTCACCCTTACCCCATATCCTCTGCCGCCCGGCCCGAGTATTATTTTTACCTGCTGTGGTCGTATCCTTTGCGTGTACTGTAATTTGCTAGAATTTTGCTGGAAAATTATCGATCGATTTTCGGCACTCTAAATTCGATGCATCTACCGCAGGCTAAAGAAGCGATTTTAACCAAGGAATCGATGCGTCGTTACACGCGCATGGTGTGTATACATATATTCACATCAATTGTAACACTTTCCTGAATAAGTGAATGTGTCAGCTGAATATGGATGGTGCTGATGATGACAGTGGACGTAGTGGAGGTAGTGTTGGTGCTGATGATGATTATGATAGTGGAGGTAGTAGTAGTGGTGCTGATGATTATGATAGTGGAGGTAGTAGTAGTGGTGCTGATTATGATAGTGGAGATAGTGGTGGTGGTGGTGCTGATGATGATAGTGGTGGTAGTGTGGTGGTGGTGATGATGATTATGATAGTGGAGGTAGTGGTGGTGCTGATGATGATGGATGATAGTGGAGGTAGTCGTGGTGGTGCTGATGATGATGGATGATAGTGGAGGTAGTGGAGGTAGTGGTGGTGCTGATGATGATGGATGATAGTGGAGGTAGTCGTGGTGGTGCTGATGATTATGATAGTGGAGGTAGTGGTGGTGCTGATGATGATGGATGACAGTGGAGGTAGTCGTGGTGGTGCTGATGATTATGATAGTGGAGGTAGTAGTAGTGGTGCTGATGATTATGATAGTGGAGGTAGTAGTAGTGGTGCTGATGATTATGATAGTGGAGGTAGTAGTAGTGGTGCTGATGATGCTGATGATGACAGTGGAGTATGCTAACAATGGTGCTGACAACGATAAAATGATGATAGTAGTAGTAGTGGTAGTACTGGCGGTGTTATGGGGAGCGTTGGTGCAGCAGTTAGCGCAACTGCTCGGAGTCCCGGCGACCTGGGTTTTGATTCCCACTCACGACGAATAACAGTGCTGAATATTTTAACTGGGACTGGGCTTCCTCTGGTACCCGGGACAGTGTGTATAGATCAGCACTGGGGAGACAAAGGTAGCCGGGCGCGGTGCTGGCCACCCACCCCCTTATAGGTGCTCGCTAACAGCACTTTCTGCAATACTATAGTCTATTTAGGCGATTGGGGGCATCTTAGTCATTGTTATTTTTACGGAATTGGTAGTCATACTAAAAATGGATGTTTTGATGATGATGATGATGATAACAGTGGGTGCTGCTGCTGGTGGTGATGCATTCACAATGGTAGCATTTAGAAATAAATGATGATGCAAGCGGTGGTGGGTCATCATTGCTGACAATGGGGCTGACAGTGATGGCACCGATGATTGCGACGCATGCACAATGTCGGTGCTTACACATTAGAGACCTACCGTGGAAATTACTGACCTCTTTTCCCACAATCAATCGTTCCGGCTGCCACTGCCGTTGTCAGGCGGATTCAACGCTGGTACTTCGCCACGATGGGCCCTCTGGCCCTTCCACAGTAATTACCGCTCTGTCATCAAAGCGGAACGCTGAAAGGCGACCGTATCATCCGCGTGAAGACGTCCAAGGGAATTTTATTTTAGCGACCTTTTTTTTTAAACCCCCCCCCCCCCCCCCATCGCAACGAGCCTTCCAGCTATATTCTTTCTCGCTGTTGGGTACGTAAATCGTTAGAAGATACATTTTTCGTGCCGGTTTTACTCTAGCGATTATTGCGTGCAGTGTGTATATTATTATTTTTGTTTAAGGAATGCTGCGTATTTAAAACACTTAAATAATAATTTTCACGTGCGGAAGCAAATGTATCTGTCTGCGGGCGAGATGAAGTGAACATAATATCGAGAAATGTTGGTTTGTTTCGCTGACACCTCTGCCATATCCTTCGGATGTTAAGACTCACTTCCCCCCCCCCGCCCTCCGTATTTGAAAGCAAAAGTTGGCGGTGCATTTTATTATCTGGTAGGTGTGTGCACTTTTGTTTGGGGAGTGGAAGTTTAGTGGTTGGCTCACTGCGCTACAAACCCAGCACCCCCAATTCGATTCCCACTCACGGCCAACAACACCAGTGTCAAATACCTAAACTGGTCCTAGGTCTCCCCTAGGTCGACTCAGCCTCAAATGAGCACGTGGCGTGGTGTGTACACGTCGCCACTAGGGAGACAAAGGCGGTGCTGGCCACACACACCCTCATGTGACGTGCTGGCCTTCATAGGTGCTCGTTAACAGCACTGGCCCCAAGAGTATTATAAGGGAGACCTTTGTCTTTTTGCGTGTGTATGAGACCAGATTAGTGCAGAATGTGGCTTATTTTCTGGAGCGGCTTATAATCCAAAGAATACGGTACATTTTGGTTCTCTTTTTGAATAAAAAAAAGTGATAACAAAAAAATATAACCCTAGAAATGATTTACATTACACGTAATGGGTTGCACAAAGGATTACCAAATCTTTCAGTTGTTCGTAATCGGTAATTGTTTTCCTTAACCAATCCTCCCTTCCACGCTTGCAGCTACTGATTGCATTACAATCCGCACCTCCCATTAGCGCGGTTGGCAATGTACGGTGCAAAAAAAATTCAACATATGTGAACATACCTCTTCAGTTTGAGAAATGTTGTTCAATAAAATAAGCTTTTCATCAGCATGTGCCGACAGACATCGTGCGACACAAAGATGTATGTCAAACAGTACGTTTTTAGAAAAAAAGAACATATTTAAAAGACCTTTTTTATTTTGGTAAATCATTTCATTCCGTTTCAAAAATGTACAAAAATGGTTTGTAATGAGCTGGCAAAAGTCATAAATCCGCTGCTTTTGTGAGCAGACGGTACAAAATAAATATCGTCTGCGTGCAGTCTTTGCGACATCGCTGATATTTATGGCATTAGCAAAAATAAGTTTATTAAATTATTATCCACTATCAAGATGGCTTTTTTCCCTTAAGTATCCCCCCCCCCCCACTTCCTTCAGCGATTATATAATATTGGCGGAAACAGAAATCGGGGACATGTTCTTGGCTCTCTTTGTTGTTTTATCCTGTAATTACTTGGGTGCAGTGTTATTCGGACACATACTTGTACGGTTTGCTTCCATACCCATGTTGTTTTGCTTGTCGTTTTTTTTTGCATTACTTCATGAAAATTCGCTATGTCTCACCACCACCACCAACTGAGGCGTAGGATTTTCTCGGCCCATGTTTTTTTTCCACTGCCTGACCCCACCGGGCACCGTCCCCGGAATGTCACGTTCTTGAAACCAGAGAGGCGCCTCGCCGAGTCTCGGGGCTCATCTTCGGGAGGGTCCTGCTGTGCGCGGCGCTGTTTGGCCATTTTTCCACGGCCGCTTTGTTAAAACGATGCATTTGGGATGCCGCGTTTGCTAGTGGTGCTCGGACACAAATAACAGAAACTCAAAACGTTCGTTAAACAACACTGCCCTCGAAGGTGACGTTTCAGGCCGTAGTCCTTCTCTATTGGTCTCTCCGCTGTGAAGTAGAGCTGTTGCCCGAGACGATGCCTGTTGTATATTGTTCCCTCTTCACGGGTAGCATTATTGACGAGTTGCGGACAAGGATTTGGAACGCGCCCAAGAGCCCCCACGTCCACCGCGGAGATGGAGCGAGTGCTGGGCTAGATTATTAAGTCGCAGGATCGTGAAAGGTTGCCACGGCTTGTGGTGCCCTTCATCCAGCAGTGGATTGACCATGGCCGATGACGACGATGATTCGCTTTTTCCCTCTGGTAGAATGCATCCTGGTTGACAGTTTGATTTGTCTAATCACCTGATCCACAAGACAAACGCTATCTTCAGAACAGCAAATCGCTTGTTTTTTGGTCCCAACTGTCATTGCTGTCAGAGGCACTTTCATCAAACCGAAGTTAAACCCTGCAACATTTGTTTTTGGGGACATTGTGTCATTTTTGTGATCGGCGGCTGCCATGGTGGGTTTCATTGCGAGGCACTGCCTACACTTGAGCGAACGCCGCCTTAAGCTACGGGGCACGTCTCATGGTGATGATGGAATTTAGCACCGGACATATCTATGACAGGGCTTCTGGGCCACCGAGCCATCATTCGTTTTGTAGATTTGTCGCGGAGTCGTGCGGGTAGAGTGTGGATTTCCGTGCGATGGCTCCCGAATGTGCATCCATGTTTGTTTCGCCTCTTATCACTGCTGAAATTTGTAACGGTCGTTAGTTTCCAATAGCCAGCTCCTCGTGTGCAGATGCTTGGTGGAATTTTCCACTTCAGGATCGTGAAAGATTGTGACGTCTTGCAAAGGCCTTCACCCAGCAGTCGACTGATGACGGCTGATTATGATTAAAGGCTTTTTGCTTTTTAGACATTTTCCAAAGATCTCAGCTGAGGATGTTTTCCCAAAAAATATTTTTTTGTGTTTTGTTTTCACGTATTAGAGTGCCCGGAGAAAACCCTGTGCAGACGAGTAGGGAGACAACGGTTTGCAACACTCTGCCAGATGACTTTGAATCCGTCCCATGTCACGAAACTATCAAAAACAATTGAAATATATTGTTGTTTGGGACCGCCTTTGGGATTCGGACCGAAAGTCACCGTCACTTCCACACTGGAGTATCGCTGCGGGCCTCTACGGCCTTGCGACGTAGTCACTAAATCCGGCACCGGACAAAAACACGTGTTTATTATTATTATTATCATCATCATCACTGGTTCCTCGGTTGCGATCGCGCGTTTGTCCATCCCTTAACAGCTTGTCCGTTGCGTTGGCCGCGTGTGCTTCCCTCCCATCAGGATATGCGCAAGCACGTGATGATGAACCTCCTGGACACGGAGCGCTCTTACGTCGAGTCCCTGCGCACGCTGGTCCAGGTGAGGCCGTGTCCACGCCGACACGGAAAGCACAGCCCCCTCCTCCCCAGCGAGCTTGCGTCAAGCCCTGGCTTCTAAAACGTGGTGGCCTACTACTGGCCACAAATGTTACCCCCCCCCCCCCCCCCCTGTTTCATGTATTCCACCTTCAACACTGCTGTTTGTTCTTGATTTAAAGCTTTCGTGACTGCAGGGATTCATATTCTTGGTTCTTTCGGTAAAGTCACGTAGAAGGGAAATAATAAAATAATATTTATATTATTTCCCTTCTACGTGACTTTACCGAAAGAACCAAGAATACTGCTGTTTGTTGTTGACTGCTTGCCGTTTATTGAGCCTTGAGGCGGGCCTGCACTATGTAACCGTGGGAAAATTACAACCTGAAGCTCTTGGAGTTGCCGTTGACAGATATGGCTTGCCAAAGACATTATATAATAATAATAATATTCCAGCCTTTTTCAGTCCATTGCCTGGATGACAAGGACAACTACAAAGATCCACCATATCGCCTTAACAGACTGTTGGGGCAAGTGCTGTTCGCGAACACCGATGAAGGCCGGCACGGCGCACGAAAGTGTGGGTGGCCAGCACCACGCCCGGCCGCCTTTGTCTCCCCAGTGGCAATGCTTACCACACCAGGTGCTCATTTGAGGCTGAGTCGACATGGATGAGCACCTTCCCCAGACCATGTCGATCACGGCGGGGTTTTCTTGCCCATACTTTACCATGTTGGACAACGAGAGGGGTCGGCGGTGGGGGGGAGGGGGGGGCTAGGTGGTGCAGGACTGCTTTTGATATCCCTTTACCACTCGTGCGAGCCATGGCCAAGAATTAGAAATTCAGGTCGCCGAATTCAGAGCGCGGCGTGCCCCAGCACTGTGCCCCCCCCCCACCCCCCCACGCCACAAAGAGATGAAGATTAGTGAGATGAAAGCGAGATGAGCGAGAGATGCAGAGATGAAAGGGCTGTCGAGAAGAGGGACGGATTAGTGGTCACACAAGGCAAACCAGAGTTGGATTCCTGGTCACGGTCAGGATAAGTGACGAGGAATATTTGAGCCATCTTCTTGGTTCTTTCGGTAAAGTCACGTAGAAGGGAAGTAATAAAACAATAAAAATAAAACATAATAAAATAATTATCACGACGTTTCGGCCACAACGCAAGCAGCCGTCTTCAGGTGGAGAACAGGTCTGTCAAGTAGACAGATTCTCCACCTGAAGACGGCTGCTTGCGTTGTGGCCGAAACGTCGTGAGAATTATTTTATTATGTTTTATTTTCATTATTTTATTACTTCCCTTCTACGTGACTTTACCGAAAGAACCAAGAAGATGAATCCCTGCAGTCACGAAAGCTTTAAATCGAAATATTTGAGCCAGTTTTGGATCCGTCCTTCACCAGCCCACGCCGACCAAAGTGGTGAAGTATGGTTTTAACAATCCTTTTGACCGACATCACTTACAGTTTAGCCTTGCAGCAATCCATGTAGCAACTGCTGTTAAACTGATTTGATAACTCCATCTCCATGCAGGACGTGCCGTCTTAACCCCAGCCCCATCAATATGGTAAATACAGCAGCCTCTTGTGGCAGCAAGATTTACTTGAAGCAATTACCTACAATATATACGAATACAAAAATATCTATTATATATATTTAATTTAATGGCCGTATTGCGAGCTTAGGAATCGATATTCAATGACGACCCGATGCATTGCCCCACCGCTGCTGCTAAGCGTACACAGTCTCGTACGTGCCTAGCCACACAGTCATCATCCTTTCGCAAAAAAAACCCCAGAACAGAGAAACAAAATGGAATTAACAAAATACAAATCGAAATTCACATTTCCGCGATGCTGTCTGTACAATTATTTTTTTTTTCCTTCCATCCGACGAACCCCATCCGAGCGGTCCCCGTTTGGTGGTTATCTGTGAATATCAATGAAGCTGTTCCCATTAGACAAAGGGATATGAATCAGCATGTGTTGTGTGGCATTATCCCCCCATCCCCCCCTCCAGTATATATACATATTTTATATTTGTTTCCAAAATGAATTAATTCCGTTATGTAAAAATACGTATTACCAAAAAGCCATTCCGCCTTTTAAAAGGGGGGGGGGGGGGGGGAGAGGGAGAACAACAAAGAACACCACAGGGGAAACATTGCTGTGGGCGGTAAAAATTGTTACGTAAATAATTAATGTGCATATCAAAGTGAATCGGATCTTTTATTTTAGTTCAAGGGGATATTCTGTGCGTGTGTTCTGTCCATCGGTGAAGGCGATTGCTGATTTTTTTTCTTTCCGGGTGGGAAAAACAAAAAAAAACACATTGGCAGGCACACGGCGATCCCGGATCTCTTGGCAGATGTGAAAAGCTGTGTCGGTGTCGCTTGCAAAGAGAGAAACCCTTTTTTTAAATCCTTTATATTAAGTTCGCTTGCTTGCTTAGGACCGTGCAAATCTTTCGGTCGTTTTTTAACCCACTTCCCGTGATCCAATCGAGCTGACATTTTCCACACAGACTCGTTGTGCGTGACAATTAATGTTCGTGAAAATTTTTTTCAAAAATGTTACACTTTTTAGGATAAAAATATTATATTTAATTACCAATTGCTTAATGGTGCAATGCAATCATCTGACCCATAGGTGGCAGCCATCTCAAGCCAGAGGTGCGAGAGGACTCTAGCCGCCACACATATAAAGGATTTATAGTGAAAAACTTTGTTTTTATGGGTTATACTTATTCTTCCCAAAACCTGTTTTAGGTTTTTTTCCCTCTCCTCTCTTTTGCATTCGGATCGTCTCTTTCTCTCTCTTTCTTTCTTTCTTTGCTCCAGCCGTCATCGCGTAAAAGTTCGCCGACCGATTTAGTGGAAACGTAGCCAATTACCGTGCCGTCCTGAATTTACCAAAAACGGCCGGCGCTCTCGCCGCGCATTACGGGAGAGCGCTCAGCATTTAGCGCGCGCGCCCCGAGACTGGGGAGTAAATGCCCCGGCGCTGATTGAAGCCTCTCCGATTCATTAGCGCGTGTCGGGTAATGCATGACTGGTAGGGAAAACACGCTCCGCTGCCCAGAGAGAATATCCAAGGGGTAGAGTTGTTATTTTTTGACGCTTTTTTTGACCGCTCATTTTTTTGTTGTAAAATGTCCAATTAGATTTTTTTTTACTCGCTCTGTCAATGAGCTAATGGTTTAAAAAGTGATTGCAGGTGACGGTGGCGTGCTGATGACAGATGCCGCACATTTCTTAGAAGTTGTTATTGTACTTGAGCCGCTCGTTTGAATTCGTGCTTAAAATACCTACAATGCACTCTTGTGACCGAGGCTTGCGTGACCCAAAGAGGGGAGTGGGGGTGCCATGCCGGTGGGGTTTTGAAACGAAGGCCCCTTTTCCCCACTCAACTCCGCCTGCCTGCTCCTCTCAGACGTAAACGAGCCCACATCGTGATTTACAAAGTCTGAGTTAGAGTTTGTTTTGAGTTCACGCAAGGGCCACATTTGTACACGGTTTATCCTCGTTCATCCCTACCCCAGCGCCCCCCCCCCCCCCCCGCATTGCTTCCTGATATTCTCCAATTCGCAGTTCATCGGATGGCTTTTGTTATAATTTGATGAATTGTCACGTTTCTGAATTAGCGGATGGATTATTGTTTTTTTTTACGTAATAAAAATAAATGGCTATTTACTTAGGGTTACTATTTTTTTTGGTAGTGTCTAAATGCAACCACACCTTAAGAAGATGTACAGAACATTGAGACATTATATTAAAATTATCTGTTTATCATTCGTATCCATATGCATCTTCCTTTTTTTGTTTAAACCCACATATTCAAAAGGTGACCAATCATTTATCGATTCTTCCATCTATTCCATTATGAATTATTTTATTCTATTATAAATTGTGATTCAAGAATTGTATCCATCCGGCTGCTGCATTGTTTTATTTTACGATAGACAATTATTTATCTGCGATGCTGGCCACCCACTTCTTCATGTGTGCCCGCTCACAGCCATAGAGAATAATGGAGCCACTTTTATTAGCAGTCAAGTGGGCTCGGTCGGGCAGGATACGTTGTTCGAGGGGGATCATGAGAAAAACGACTGCATGGTAGCGAAGGGAGGGAATGTTCCGGACAGAACGCCCATTGCGGAGATGGAGCAATGCTACCATGAGAGACGGCGGGAGCTTGGCGGAGGCCTTCATCCAGCAGTGGATTGAGCATGGCTACTGATGATGATGAATAAGGAACGATTAAATGGTATTGCTTTTCCCTCTTGCACCTGGTTCTCGATTCCTCTTACCTTCTGCCCTCCCATTCCATGGACCCCCCCCCCCACCGACCCCAACCAACCATGGGTGCCCTCCTTCCCCTCCTTTCCCTCCCCGTCGTTCCCGCGCAACCCCACGGGGAGCAGGGCTACCTGGGGCCGCTGAAGCAGGCGGAGAGCGCGGGGCTGTGCGACCCGGCGCTGGTGGACGACATGTTCTTCCAGATCCCCGAGATCCTGGAGCACCACGAGCGTTTCCTGGAGCAGCTCACGGGCTGCGTGCAGTGCTGGCACGAGCGCCAGACCGTCGGCGACATCATCATCGAGTCGGTGGGTGGCCTCCTTCTTTCTGAACGCTTCCCTTCGTCCTCGCGCGCGAGCCCTCGTCCCTCGAGCCGTCCGTGTCCGCCGCTACGTGCGCGCTGAAACACGGGAAACGCCGGCATTTACCTTTCTTTTTAGCGTCGTCGTCGTTTTCCAAGGTCGCCGTGCTTCGAACGGTTGGTCACGTGCACGCGACTCGAAAAAGGGATTGCACACACGGCAACATTCGCCCCCCGGCTGTAAAAATCCTGCAGACTATGTCTGTGAAACACAGAGCCGTCGTTGATATAAGAATGCCAAATTAGTTCAATCATTTTTTGTTGTTTGATTTCACCATCAGTTATGTCGGGGTTTTTGTGTTTTTCATTTTGGTTGTTGCATGCCCCTGTACCGTTCCCCGTTTTGTTGTAATGTGCACTGATGCCTACTTTATTGAGGGCGATATTGGCTCGTAAAATTAACATCGATTGATTGATGTCCCGTTGGGTTTGTATGAAAAGTTGTAATGTGTCTCTCCTACCACCCGCCCACTCCAGTGATTGTACGAATTGTGATTCAGGTTCACAACTTGATGCAAGGGGCTATTTATTATTTAACACTGTTACGAGTTGTAGCAGGCATCCGTGGCTGGATGGGGAGTCAACTCAGCTCGTTGATGAGTCACAAAACGTTGAATCTTACACGCCCGATTAGTATGTATGTATGTACGTTGAACTTCTTTCGCACCGTACATATCCAACCCGTGCTAATCAGAGGTGCGGGGGAAGGACAACAAACTAAACACAAAAAAGCAGATTCGATGCACGTATCGTGATCTCAATAATCAGTATTAATGGATGACTTGATGCACCGTTATCCACGGACTCTCCACTCCTATCCCACCACCACATGTCTGTCAGGGTAATGTCACGATCCAAAAGAAGAAACTCGTGTTTTAGCAGCTACCTCTGGACGTGCATTTCATTTTAAAGATGTCGGGTAATCATTCGAGTAATCACGAAGTGGCTTTATTCGTCAACCAATTGCGACTCTTTGTTTTTTTTCGGTAAAGTCATGTAGGGAAATAAATAAATAAAATAGAATGAAAAAAAAACTAACTTTTTATTAAATCAAATCACGACGTTTCGGGCGCAACACAAGCGTCCTTCTTCAGGTGGGGACAACGAGGCGTAAGCACAACAGCTTTAGTGTGTCTAAGAGGTGGCTGTGACGAGGAATTATATAGTCACGGGACTATATAATGATTTGATTTAATTTTATTTTTGTTGTTTTCATTTTAAAAAAAATTCCTACGTGACTTTACCGAAAAAACCAAAGAGTATGAATCCTTGCAGTTACGAAAACTTCAAATCTAGAACCAATTGCGACTTCACTTCAAGATTGAAATGCACTTCTTGAAGAACGGAGAGATCCTCATAAAATCCTCGCGGTGTCAAACGTGCTCAAACAAAACTCACCTTGTCACCCACAATGGAATCGGGTTCAGAATATGCATTTATTTATACTGGAGGAATCACATGAGACACAAGGATGTCCAGTAATTGAATATTAATGGTGCATTCGGTTTCATGTCTGTGTGTAAGCAAGCGTGACTCAAACCATTGCCTTATTCAATAAGTAAGCCGTATTCTCCCCACGGTAAAGACGTACAATTGCCTTCAAGATGACTGCCCCTAAATGTGTTATGAGGGACGCGGTTGAAATTCTGACTCCGTGATGCTGCCGTATTCGCAGAGCCACTGCGGGCGCCATCAATCGAACGTCACGTCAGGAAATCAATAAAAGCCGTAGAAATGTCCCGAGTCGCCGCGTGCACATCGGATCCTTCTGTGCAGTCGCAACAGAGACACAAAGAGGAGGAGGAGGACAGGTTTGGAGTGATTTTTTTGAACGACAAACTCGATAACGAGTATATATACAAGGACTGTTTTCTTGGAATTTTTCTTACTTGATAACAGCTATCGTCCTGTGACGGTTCCACCTGAAGACGGAAGCTTGCGTTGCCTCCGAAACGTCGTGATTTTTATTTTATTTTTATTTTACTTTTATTAATTTTAAATTTTTTTTAAAGAGCGTCCATGCCTCGGTGTACGGCGTTGCTACCCGCTGTGACGCACGGTCATCAACAAAAAATAATATAAGTGTGCAAAGAAGCGTGGTACATGAGATGCGTGCTTGGAATTCCACCGAGAGACAGAGAGAGGAACACGTGGATTAAGGAATGTACGCAGGTCAGTGACATCATCCTTTAAAGCTTTCGTGACTGCAGGCATTCATATTCTTGGTTCTTTCGGTAAAGTCACGTAGAAGGGAAACAATAAAATAATAGAAATATAAAACAATAAAATTCTCACGACGTTTCGACTGCAACACAAGCAATCATCATCACCTGCGAAAATCACAGCAACACAGCAATAACTTTTTCTTGCTGAGTTTTTCACACCTGATGACGATTGCTTGTGTTGCAGTCGAAACGTCGTGAGAATTTTATTGTTTTATATTTGTATTCTTTTGTTGTTTTCCTTCTACGTGACTTTACCGAAAGAACCAAGAATATCATCCTAACTGTTAAGAAAAGTAGGCGAGGCTTTGGCAGGACGCGTCATGGCTAGAAGGGACGATGGCCGAGTAATGGAACGTTTCTGAGAGGACGATCAGTGAGGAGATGGAGCGATGAGTTCAGTTCATCGCAGGATCGTAAGAGGCGGCAGCGGCTTTGCGGAGGGCTTCATCTAGCGGTGGATCGATCATGCCTGGCAACGGAGGGAAAACAGCAACAGAGGGAGAAGGGAAATCGGACGTAGATTACAGACGGATATCGTGACGCTCACGATCCGCAGGATTCATGACGCTCACGATCCACGGGATTAGCGCCCCCCCCCCCCAACCACAACTCCGCGTGCCACCCACAATCCCGCGTCTGCCCACACGGACACCACCGCCGCGGTCACGTCACGCACACGTGAACGTGAAAATGAAACTCGGCACGAGCCCGCCATGTACTCGGTACTTTGGTTTTGTTCTCCGACACGGTTTGTAAGAAAAGAAATCCCGAGCGATAACTCACATTCTTTTGTCACCCTCGTGTTCAGGTTTTTTGATTCCTTCAACGATGATTTTGGCGCTGAGCAATGCGAAAGGCAGGGAAAAAAAGCAGAAGATGAAAATATGTTGCCACTGTACGGGAAAAAATCCTATAGGTTTTTCTTTTTTTACATCCAAACAAGCCAACTGAGGGTGGAAACGTGATATAAAATATAAACCGAGTGGTTAAATGAAGAATAAATGTTCACTCTGACCAGTGAGAGAGGGGGGCAGGAGGGCCCTGCTTGGGCTGCGAGACCCAACATTTTATTGATCATTTCGGCTCGTGCCCGGAGAAATCCCACAAACACGATGCGCAACGCAAATAAATCTCCAACCTATCACGTGCCACCGTAGCATCGCGGAGTGCGAAATTAAATAAACTAGCGCCGCAACCAGTTGGTCTCTCTTAACCCTATCTCTAACCCCGCCGCCATTCGTACCCTTCCCCACGCCGCGCCGTTCTGTCGCGCCCGCTAACGTGCTCGTTACCGCACTCCGCGAGGCCCCAGGACCTGTTCGGATTGGCAGCTGCGGTGTTTTTCAGAGGTGAAGTAGCAGCTTTTTTTCTTTTCTCCAGCGCCATTCGGGGGTCCCCGTGGCACTCGTCGGGGTGCGGGGTGGGGGGGGCCGTTGCCTGCGTTTTGGTTCCCGCGTGGCGCCGAGGGGCGGCTCGCGGCTCTCGTAATCCCCGCGGCTTTGGGCCAGAATGCCTTTGCTGTCACTTGCCAGAAAGCCGCGGGATTATTTGCCGTTTTATCTCTTTTTTGGGGGGGGGGGGGGGTGGTGTGGGATATTGCCCACGGTGTAATGGTTAGCACACGGGACTTGCAATCTCGAGGTCACTGGTTCCGTTTGTCTTCCGGCACGCCGTTTGAAACTGCAGGCAAAATACCCTCTTACAGGGGCTTTCTGTAGTTCCGTCTAGTTGGAAGGCCCTTCTGCCAGCAGGGGTCATGAGTAAGCAATTGCAGGGCTGCACCTGTCTCTTGTTCATTTTTGTTTTGTAAGGCCCAGTCAGAGGCTTTCCCAGGTATGTGGCAACAGCCCGGCCTGCGCTCCCTCAGGTTGAATGTAACAGTCGCAGCATTACTCGCTGCACCTTGCTGATGCACGACGCGGGTTCAAAGTTCAACACATTTGCTCACAGCAATGTGCGCGCTCATTAGCAAGAGACCACTTTGCCCTGACTGCCCAATCTCGTCGTACGTTGGAAGTTAAGCGGGGTTGAACTCGGTTGGTACTTGAACGGTAGGTTGCCTGGGAACACCAAGTATTGTCATCAATAATTAAATTGATCTAATGCATGTTGTATTATATCCTTAAACCATTTTAGGCTGCCACTTGCATTAATGATTATGTGGTCACTTGTTTGAAATGAGTCTTGAAAATTCGTGTTTTCATCGTTGCCTCTCTATCTCTTTCTCTCTTGCGGTTTACCCTTTAATCCTCGCAGTTCTCCAAGGACATTCTGGCCAATTCTTACTCGGCGTACATCGATAACTTCCTCAATGCCAAGGATGCCGTGCGGTTGGCCAAGGAAGCGAAGCCGGCATTCAACCGCTTCCTGGAGGTGGGAGGGACGCCGTGAAATTACCAATCAACTGCTCACCCCCCCTCACCAGCTCTTCCGCTCACCTGCTCACCACTCATCAGCTTGCCAGCTTGTCCACTTACCCATTTAGACAACAGCCCACTCGCTTATTCACTTACTCGCCGCTCACTAAACTCACCCACTCGGCCAATAACTCGCTCACCCCATTCACATACTCACCCAATCGCCTACTCACTTGTATATTCACCCTCACACCTGACAAGTTTGCCTGTTGTCCCACTCATGGCTGACCAATTTATCCACTAGCCGACTCGTGCACACACACACCCCATCACCAAGTCAGCCACTGACCCAAATTTATCACTATCCCGGTAACCTTATAGTCCGCTTATCCACACGCATGCTCGCTTGCCAACTCACCCACTCATTCATTCACTCACTTTCCCGGTCGCCTGCGTGCCTGACTTGCTGATGGCGCAAGACAGCGCCTGATAAGCTAAGCGGCCACGTTCACAAAGCAGCAAATGTACTCATGTCCGATGGTTTTGTTGTTTTTTTTCCCCGTGCGACACTGTCCGCTGTGATGCTCTTTGCGGTCTCAGCAATGCATGCGGGAGAACAAGGAGAAGCAAGCGCTGGCGGATTTGATGATCAAACCAGTGCAGAGGATCCCGCGATATGAGCTTCTCATCAAGGTGATCCCTCATTAATTCCCGCTGCAACCCTCGGAATTACGACACGCGCACCATCTGCTACACCGAGTGGGCGTTCGGCAAGTGCCGCGCCACGCCAGCATTGGCGTTCACACGAAGTCGGTCGTCGTCCCGTGGGCCGGGTTTCACAGTCTTTCAAATCACGCGTTTGGAATTCTGTGTACGGAAACGGCATTGCAAAAAATACAAACAGAAAAGTGTCCGTACGAGTGTAGACTTTGTCCGTGTACACGTACAGCCCTTTTTGTCAATCCACAGAGAGTTGTAGTCCAGATTCAATAATTTGCCTTATTTGTACGTACGTTGAACTTCTTGTGCACCGTACGTAGCCAACCAATCAGAGGTGCGGGGGAGAGACAACAAACTAAACACAAAAAGCAGTTCTAACGAAACGAGTTTTCAATCGAGATGATTTAAAAGTGCATAGCTCCTGTGGCTTCCCAATATCGGAAGAAAGAACGTTCCAGACGGCCGCAGAGGCGAATCTGAAAGGGCGCAATGCGGTCACCGCCTTGGTCCTGTGGCTGGCCAAAACCTGCCGCTGCTGCTGCGATGATGTACCGGAGCTTGTGTGATGGCAGACCTGTGTGCCAGGGCAGGAAGGCGCCACCACGTGTTAAAGCAAAACCAGCAAAACAAACCCAATAAATCTTCTTGGTTCTTTCGGTAAAGTCACGTAGAAGGAAAATAATAAAATAATAAAAATAAAACATTATAAAATAACAACGTCGTGAGAATTATTTTATTATGTTTTATTTTCATTATTTTATTACTTCCCTTCTACGTGACTTTACCGAAAGAACCAAGAAGATGAATCCCTGCAGTCACGAAAGCTTTAAATCGAAAATTAAACCACAATAAACGGACACGACCGCGACGTTTGCGGCCACGGTGGTTTTGCCAGGACCTGCTAAAGCACACCCCCGAGGAGCACCCGGACCACAGCAGCCTGACGGTGGCGCAGCGCGACGTGCGCCTGCTCGCCGAGCGCATCAACCAGGGCAAGCGCGACGCCGAGGAGGCCGAGCGAGCGGCACGCGTCCTGCAGGAGGTGGAGGCGCACATCGAGGGTGCCACCGAGGTAACCCCTGGACGTCGTCACGGCGGTGGTGGCGGTGGTGGTGGTGGTGGTCATGGTGGTGCTGATGACAATGGTGATGATGATGATGTGGAGGTGATCATGTGATGATGGAGGTGCACATGGAGGGCGCCACCGAGGTAGCCCCTGGACGTCGTCACGGCGGTGGCGGTGGTGGTGGTGATGGTGGTGCTGATGACAGTGGTGATGGTGATGATGATGATGGAGGTGATCATGTGATGATGGTGGCGCACATCGTGGGTATTACTGAGGTACCTCGATTCAGGAATCATGGTGACGGTAGTGATGGTGGAGGTTGCGATGGTGGTGGTGATGGTGGTGATGAAGGTGGTGGTGGTATTGGTGGTGATGGTGGAATATCTCAGGTTTGTACATGTAGGTACACGTATGTTTTATGATTTGGGCTGTTTATTGGCTGTGTAACCAATGCACATATTCGCTTAAATTGTTGTTGGTAGGTATGCCTTAGGAGTCGGCTGCGATGGCAAAGCCATTTTAACCACAAAGTTCCATCTGTCACAAGTCCACCAGACATTTCCATAAAGTACAAGCCCCCGAGCTTTCAAAAAAATTCACGTCTGAAGTGTTCCCTCCAAAATCTTTCCTGCACAGTCAGCTTTGGGGATGTGGCTCATGGTCTGGGGAAGTGGTGGGGGGGGGGGGGGGGTTGGAGCGGAGTGAGTTGAGGAGGGAGAAGTTGCCTGGACCAACACCGGATTTTGAGAACTGCAGGCTCCTCCGCCTCTTCACCTGGACAACGCCTCGCTCCACCGCTGTCGCCGCTCTGGGCTGCGGCCTTTATTAATTTCGCGGGGCCGTCTCACGGACTTAGGGGCAATTTTCCCCGCGCTTAAGTCGCATGGCGTCGACACAATATAGCCCGCGCGCTCCGTCGTAATGCCTTCCACATTTCGGCCACGGCGCCGCGTTACCTCAAATCCCGGCCAGATGGTCGGGGGGTGGGTGGGGGCAGGGGGGAACCTTTTAAAGAGGCAGGCAGAGCGCGGCAGGGCGAACGTGGCAGCTGTTACCGCTTTAGGACGTGCGGCGCGGGCCCCGGGTACGCGAGTCCGCGGGGCACCGCTACGCGCGGCGTGGCCGGTGGCGGCGGCCGCGTTCGCCGGGCGATGTCATGCCCGGCTGCCGCCACACTTTGCGGTCGCGATATAGTTTGAGTTTTTTGGGTTTTTTCGCCGCGTTTTTACGGCTAGTGGACACACGGGGTTGTCGTGCGTCCAAACTGATTTTATCTTTCTCTTCAACGAATATTTGTGGCGAAATTCCTGCTCCTAATTCAGGAATTGGATGTTGGGATATCGTTGGCAGGGCCACGCGCCCGTCGATACTCTGCTGTTATTACGCAAGGACCGCGTCCGCATTAGCCCTGTGCTCAGGGCTGTGGATTTCTCTGGGATATATAAAGATTCTGATTCTGAAAGACAACAGGCGACCGCGTGCGCTAATATTGTACGCACGTGTTGCCTCAAATAATAATTCATAACCCGTTTCCATACCACTGCTGGAAATATGTCTCCGCACACCATGTCAATCGTGGTCATTGTTCGACCTTCACCATCATGTTCGGTGTGGATTCCAGAACCAGGGCACTGCACTGATGTCAGCAGACATGCTTTCTGCCATGGTCTGGCAGAACGGCAGTCCCGATATTTCAAGCAATTTAAATATGGCCCTACATTAATTAATAATAAGAATAAAAACAGTATCAATGCATTTTCTCTGGTATATATGAATAAAATACCTATTTTCGGGGTCGCAATTGAGGGGATGGGTGAGGGTGCCAAATCGCCTCCCCCAAACGGCCCTTGGTTGGGAGTTTAACTGAGAACTTGGAACTTGCTGGGCTCACGACGCAATGTTCATGCCACCGAGCCCTCTGGTTAAAAAAAAAACGTATTCGTTAATTTTTTTTTTACGCGTGTGCCCCAATTCTTTGAATACGTCGAAGCTGTTCATCTCTGGCGGTGTTCTTGCTTTGATGTTTTATTCAGGAATCGAGGCGGGTGGGACGATGAATCAAATGTGGTTCCGCGTGTACATGTCTCGCTGCGCTCGGTTGTTATAATGTCCGCGTTAATTCCCAGCGGTTTCTTTCCCCGCTTGCTTTGTGTCCGCTCTCTCCGCCCGCAGCTCGTGGCTCCGCTCAGGAAGTTCTTGAAGCAGGAGATGGTCGTGGAAGTGGTGAGCGCCCTTCACAACGCCTGTCATTCTGCCGTTTTTTTGTTGCGTCGCTGGCCGATGTTGCGTTGCGCTGCGTGCAGTTTTATTTTATCGTCGCCTCTCAATAGTTTAGTTGTTTTACGAAACCACAATTTATTGACAACGCTATTAACATTTTTACTTTTCATATCATCTTGGCAAAATGCATCTTTTACTCGTGACACACTCATTAGTTGTCATTGTGGGGCTTTCTGGGTCATAAACTGAACAATTTTACCTCCATTCAGCTCTTTCGCTCTCCGTAAAAAAAGGCAATGTTTTGTTTTTCTTATCGGCTGTCCTTGAATTTACATAATATTATAAAGTGCAGCAGCTGATATTATTACGAGTCTCGACATCTTGATAGCCATTCGTGCAGTGGCAGTGCCAGGCAAAAGCCTTGGGACCCGAGCAGTTCAAGAGGCCCTGGATTCATGAAATACAAAGATGTGCATCAAATATCTCACTACATCATCTTTCTCTTGTCTACATTTCTGTTATCACACGGGATCTCTATCTACTCTTCTGCCACTCACTAGGAATTTACACATTGAAAGGGGGCAGCAGACCCTAAGCATAATTTGTACTTAGGGCCCCCAATCAGCTGACACCACTGCCGCGTTCGCGCTTGGGCGGTCACTAGACAGAACAAACTAAAAAAAGTGGCACGGACGAATGAAGGAACGGCGAGTTCACAAACGAACAATGCCTCGGCTCGAGTCGCCACCGGGAGGAGGCTACAGCCCCTCTCCGTGTCGTTCGCAGAAGGGCGCTGGGGGGAAGAAAGATCGATCGCTGTTCCTCTTCACGGACCTGCTGCTCTGCACGACGCTCAAGAAAAAGTCGGGCTCCCTGCGACGCAGCTCCATGAACCTGTGAGAGCCCGCACTTCGCACCCCGGGTTGCCTCTTTAGACACAGCCTCGGGTCGTCAGAGCGCCCGACTGGCACCGGCTCTGAGATCCCGGCTTCAAATCCCGGTTTGCACGGCGGCCGCGATCAAGCCAAGTTCTCGAGTCCGGCGGAGTTGTTGGGCTCTGCGCAGGCGCCACTGCACGCGCAAAAGCACGTGGTTTTAAAATCTCGGGGGAGTTAAAAATATCGGTTTTGTCGTGCGGTGAGCATTTTACTTTGGAGCATGGCGGGTGGGAAGGTGCTGCCTCCACCCCCCCACCCCCACCCCCACTGTGGATAAGAGATCACCTGAAGGGATCTCAGAGGTAGCTGTATGATAGCTCCTTCTGTAGCTCATGCAGGAATTATCTTATCAATTATGCCCATGAAAGTGATATTGAATTATACCAGCCCACACTCGCCAGCGTGGTGTAGTATGGTCATATAGCCCGCACGGCATTGGGAGGCCCTCATTCAACAGTGGACTGGAAAGAGGGCAAAACAAAACAAAGCTCCCCCATATAGCCTTAACAGACTTTTGGGGCAAGTGCTGTGAGCGAGCACCTATGAAGGCCGGCACAGCACACGAGGGGTTTGGTGGACAGTACCACACCCGGCCTCCTACGTATCCCATGGTGGCGATGTTTACACACCGCACCAGGTACTCATTTGAGGCAGAGTCGTCCTAGGGGAAACACAGGACTGATTCACATCGTCACCGTGGTTGACCGTGAGCGGGAATCGAACTCGGGTCTCGGAGTTTGTAGCGCAGCTCGCTGACCTCTGCGCGATGGCTCCCCCATCCTTAGCAAACGTGCAGACAGACGCTCGCACGGTTTTTCGTGTAATCGTGCGATGGCGACGCTGTCCCCTTTGTGTGTGCAGCTACACGGCCGGCTGCGTGATCGACACGTCCAGCAAGTACAAGCTGCTGTGGAAGGTCCCCCTGGAGGACGTGGACGTCATGAAGGGTGAGAGAGACGCCCACCTCACCACCGCCGCCATTTACGAAAATCTTCCCGCACTGCACTCGGCCACTCGTGTTTCAAATTCAATGTACGTACGCTGCCTTTCCTTTTTACGCTCTGCGTATGTATGTATGTATGTTGAACTTCTTTCGCACCGTGCGTAGCCAACCGTGCTAATCGCAGGTGCGGAAGAAGGACAACAAAAGTGTTGCCCCAAAAAGATGTCGATAAAACCCATTGCTAAAAGCACTGTCCTTGACGGCCATATTTCTCCGTCGCACGTCATGCGCGTGCCTCACCGTCACCCCCCCCCCAGGCAAGGTGACGCGCTCATAATTGCATACGAAACAGACGCCATGCCCCATCTACCGCCCTCCGCGTGTGCCTACGTGGTCGCGACGTTGTCGCCGCTACGTTTGCAAAACAACGCGCCGCTACGCGCCTTTCCCCCGTGTTTTGCGCAGGCCTGCTGGCCCCTACCCCGAGCCGGGACAGTCTCCACAAGGTGCTGACGCGGCTGGAGGGAGACTTCAGCACCCTGAGCCAGATCAGCACGCTGGCCGAGACGCTCAGCATCACCCACCAGGTGCCCGCTCTCGCGCCGTTGCGTCATCCCGCACGTGCTCCGAGCTCCCTGCCATTGTTCGGGCGAGCATCGAGGACTCGCGGCCTTTCTGTGGCGGCAGCAGTGCGAATTCCCTTTGCCCCGATTGGTTTGTGCCGCAGAGATAACTCACTCGTTTCCCCGCGCTGAACCCTGACTCCCCTTCTCCCTCTCTTCCCTCATCACTGCCCCCATCCCTCTTCCCAACTTCCCAACCCATTCGTCGTACTCACTCATCATAAACCACTCAGTGTCACTTTCCTCATCGTTTATTTCATGCACCATCATATTCATGCACTACCATGCTTCTCATTAACTCATCTATAACGATTAAAATAAGACTAGATATATTTCCTCCATAATAGGCCCACGTGTTAAACTGAGATATATTTCCCGCCGTCTGCAAGGGAAAGGAAACCTAACAAGGTGAATGGAAGCGTTACTGTTTCCCCGTTCGAGTTCTGGCTCACGACTAGGTTTTTGCCAAGCAACCAGCATGAGGTAGCCATCCTGGGGAAAATACGCGAGTCTTCACGTGACGTTTATATCGGTTGCACGGTAGTAATACACCCCCGCATTTACACGTAGTCCTTCCCTCCTCCGGTACGGCGAGATATATTTTCCCCTATGGAACGTCGTGGTTTTATGTGTCTCAGAGGTGGTCATCCTAACCATGGGAGGGGAGGTCCAAAGGACATTGCGGGCTGCTCGTTATTACACATTTAATTTGTAATCTGGCCTTCAGCTTGGCTGTGCGTCCCCCGCCGAGCGTTAACGCATTCGTGTTTTCCACTACAATGATCGCGAGCGGAAATGTGTTGGAAAGTAAATACCAATGTACGCATGTGCTAAATGTTTAAGTCTCATGCGATAGCAACATTTTATTGTGTTCTATGATAGTTGCGGGGAGTGGTGGTGTTTTTCCCTCCGTTTTGTTTACCCATTGAATTGTATCGATTGCTAATCTTAACCATACACAGCTTTTATTATTTTAAGTGTAACAAAACAAATTGCCATTCCGCACCTCCGAATCACGACTGGAACCTGTCTTCTTGCGCATTATAAATCGTTTTATTGTTTTTATTATGTTCGCACGATTGTATTCACATGGAGTTTCCCGTATTTATTTAAACCCTTGCACCATGTACGATTCATTTATCCCTAAGCGTGTGTGGCGAGCCCTCGTGTAGGAGATAACACAATGCCTTACGAACCTGGCAACCTGAGTTCCAGTCCTGCTCACGGTCAGCAACACCAATGATGATTCTATGAACCTGTCATGGGCCTTACCTCGGTCGAATCAGTCTTAAATGAGTGTGTATACTCAATGAAATTTAAATTAATAAAAATACATTTATTTTTTACCTACGTGACTTTACCGCAAAAACTAAGAGTATGTATACTCTTAGTTTTTAATAAAAATTAATTTATTTTTATTAATTTTAATTTCATTTGTTTACCTACTAAATAAATTTATTTTTTATTAATTTTAATTTCATTTTTTTACCTACGTGAGTTTACCGAAAAAACCAAGAGTATGAATCCTTGCAGTCACGAAAGCTTTAAATCTAGAATGAAATGAGTGTGTGGTGCGGTGTATAAACATCACCACTGGGGAGACAAAGACGTGGTGCTGGCCACCCCCACCCCCTCGTGTACCGTGCCAGCCTTCGTAGGTGCTCGCTAACAGCAATTGCCCCAAAGGTATGTTAAGGCCACACGGGGGATCTTTGTCTTACCTTCTGAAGAATGTTTTTCTGCATTGTGCCAAGGCTTTGGAATGTTTTACTGATTGCAACACTTATCTAAACCCTTTTACCCTCATTACTTATAACATATTACGTTTGTGTGGAGGGGAAAAAAAGCATTGTTGTGGTATTTTTTCTCCCTTTGCTGTGTTTACACATCGGAACGAATTTACTGATTGCCGTACTTACATGATCGCTGGTCTCTACTTCTGAAAATAGATTTCTGTTTTTAGTGGACTTTTATTGCTTGGTCATGAATAACGGTCGGCATGTATCTGTACAGAAACGCAAGAAACAACAACTGGAATACATCACGTAAACCACTAAAGCCTTGGAATTATTAGTGTGTGGGTGACCCATCTCCTGGAATTACTGTAATTATTCAAATAGCCCTATAAATAACTTTAGGGGCACGTGCGTATAGGCATGTAGGTTAACGCTTTGTTTTTGTATGACATTGTGCATTTTAAATACATATTCAGCCCGTAGAACAAATATCTCCTTTTATTTTATCATATATTTACTTAGGAAAGCCTCATTGAATCTCAAGACTCAAGTGGGGGAGCGGGTCCTGGATTGGGATGTTTGGCCCCAAAACATTCTTTAATTCTCATTTAGTTTTTTCAGAGTTTGACAATTTTTTGGAAGCCTTTCTTAAGGTTAAAACGGTCTTACGCACCTGGCCATTTGAGTTCGAATCCTGGCCAACGCCAGGTACGGTCAAACAAATCCCACGACAGCGGTAGATTGACAAGAGGCCCAGGGAGCAGGAGCTCAGACACTATACAAAGGTAGACATTGTGCACTTATTTACAAAAACACAATGGTTTCGTTTAAAGAGGGGTGTGACGGCTTAGTGAGGCCTTCGTCCAGGCATCAAATGATCCCGACCGATGATGATCATGAAGATGATGATGTTGATCATGAATGTGATGATCATGAATTTGGGGATGATGATCATGAATATTAATATGATGATCATGAATATTAATATGATGATCATTAATATGATGATGATGATCATGATGATGATGATGAAGACACTCATAGAGACCCCCTCCCATCCCCACCCCTCCATCGTGACTCAGAACCTGGACGAGGTGATCAAGGAGCTGATGGCGTGCGTCAACCGCGAGCTGTCCGAGCGCCAGCTCCTGGCGGCCTCGGCCTTCGCGACGGTGCCGCCGTCCGGCTCGACGCAGTCGCTGACGTCGCCGCTGTCGGCCGGCGTCCCCGGGCTGGCGGGGGCCGTGGGCTCGGCGGCCCCGCTGGGCGGCGCCCTGGCGGGCTCGCTGGGGGGGGCGCTTGCCCCCGCGCGCCTTGAGCTGTCCGTCGCCCCGTCGGCGCCCGACGCCTCCCCGGAGTCGTTCGTCTTCGAGTTCACGGGCGGGGAGCCCAGGGCGGCTTTCGAGCAGATGCTGGAGGAGACGAAGCGCAAGCTGGGTACAGACACGTGCGCGCGCGCGAGCGCCCGAGTGTACACGTGTGTATGTGTGTACGTATGTGTTCAGGCGTGGTGCTGGCCACCCAACAGCGCTTGCCCCAACAGCCTGTTAAGGCTATACGGGGGGATCTTTGTCTTTTGTTTGCGCATCTGTACGTGCGTGTCCTTGCTCAGTAGTTTCCTTCATACATACGCGTTTTGTGCCCAGTCGTGCCCTTTTAAGAGCCTCCACAGAAGCCGATATTTATTGATACTGCTGGTACCAGTCATGGGCCGTGTGTTTGTGCGTGTGGCCTTCTCGGCTACAGTCATGGCCTCTCTTTTCAATGCTTGAGAAATGTGGACTCCGTTACAAGGAACACCTGCATCAACTTGAAACATTCAGACTGGCCTGGCTGCGATCCATCCTGGGTTTAACCAGACTGGATTGTCACAGATCCTTGAAAGATCTGGACGCAGTCCCGTCGGTGAGCTCCTATGGCAGGCACGGTTGTCTTGGCTGGGTCATATGGCCCCACATGCTCAGCCGCATGTGTGCTTGCGTGTGTGTTTGTGCAGGTGTGTGTGTGTGGTTGTGTCTGTGCGTGTGTCACGTAGTGGTTAGCGCACTGCACTACGAACCCGGCGACACGAGTTCGATCCCCGCTCGCGGCGAGCAACGGTGACGATTATTTTAACCAGATCTGGGGCTCCCCCAGGTCACCTCAGCCCTAAACGAGTACCTTTGCGGCCCGTAAACGTGCTCGCTAACAACAATTGCCCCAGCAGTCCGTTACAGGCTAAATGGGGGGGGGGGGGGGGGGGATCTTTGCGTGTTTTAGCATGCGGTGCGGCGCCGCCGGCACCACGAACCTTGCGCGATGCAGAGCGAGCGTTCATGCCGGTGATCGTTTTTTTTTCTCGTTTTGCAGCGCAGACAAAGGACCGCTGGGACCCCGAGTTCCTCAAGGCCATTCCCATCATGAAGACGCGCAGCGGCATGCAGGTGCGCGTCCGGGCGATTGAAAATTGCCTTTTAACGCGCGTTCCGTGTCGCGGCACAGCCACAAAACGGAGTAGAAACGAGCGCCTCGGTTTACAAATAAGCGTTTCTCTACAAATCACCTTTCCCCCCCCCCCCATCTCCCCCGTGTCGTACAACCCGCGATCGCGTTTGAGTTACGAGGGGTACGAACGGATGAATGGCGGGGGGTACAAATGGAAGAATGAAGACGTCCGTAAGAAATCGCGCGCCGTCATTTGAGTCGCAATTACCCGATGTTTTTTTTGTGAGGCGGCGTGTCGAGTACATTCTTGTTTTCGAAAATGGATTTGTCCCTCGTGAACAGCCGACTGCCGTCGGAAATTTGCGCGATTTGTTTTCACGGCGGCGGCCCAATTGGAGCCGTTTTGCGCCTTATTACCTCATTACTACTCCGTTCTCATTCGCTGCATCCCCCGCCATGCGTATATTTTCAAATGTATATGAGCACCTATAAATGTTTAACCCGGTTATGAGACGGGTACGGATCTATTTTTGGAAGCACACAACGGTCTCTGGTCTTTCTATCAAGAACGAACGGGAATCACTGGAACAAGGAATGCCGCCTACGGTCAGCGCACGTCGCGTCCCTCCCAAAAAAAATCGGTGACCTTCGACACGCGTGCACTCCTCTTCTTCGTTCGTACGACCGACGGAGATGCAGAGCGACAACTTTACAATGTCACATTCAGGTGGTCAAGCCAGGCGACCGGATCGGGCGTTGCGTCGTTAACGACGTTTGTGCGGTCCGTTCCGTCGCCCGTGTGCCGCCCACTCCAGTTCTCGTGCGCTTCGCCGAGCCTCGGCGCGTGGGACCACTCCTCCGAGGTGTGGGTGTGCAACAGCGACGGCTACGTGGGCCAGGTGTGCCTGCTGAGCGTGCGGCCCGACCCCATGGTGGAGGCCTGCATCGCCGTCTGCTCCGCGCGCATCCTCTGCATCGCGCCCGTGCCTGGGCTGGGGCGCGGCACCAGGTTCGCTCCCCCTGCCCGGCCACCTGGGGCTGTGTCTGTGTCTCTGTCTGTGTCTGTCTGTGTCTGGCTGTGTCTGTGTCTAGCTGTGTCTGTGTATGGCTGTGTCTAGCTGTGTCTGTCTGTGTATGGCTGTGTATGTATGTGTATGGCTGTGTATGTCTGTGTATGGCTGTGTATGTCTGTGTATGTCTGTGTATGTCTGTGTATGGCTGTGTATGTCTGTGTATGTCTGTATATGGCTGTGTATGTCTGTGTATGTTTGTGTATGGCTGTGTATGTCTGTGTCTAGCTGTGTCTGTCTGTGTATGTCTGTGTATGTCTGTGTATGTCTGTGTATGTCTGTGTATGGCTGTGTATGTCTGTGTATGTCTGTGTATGTTTGTGTATGGCTGTGTATGTCTGTTTATGCATGGCTACGAACCCGGCGACTCGAGTTCGATTCCCGCTCACGCTCAACACCGGTGACGAATACCTTAACTGGTCGTGGGCCTCCCCTGGGTCGACCCAGCCTTAAATGAGTACCCGGTGCAATGTGTATATGTCGCCACTAGGGAGACAAAGGTGGACGGGCGCGATAGTGCTGGCCACCCACCCTCTCGTGTGCCGTGTCAGTCGTCATAGGTGCCGCTAACAGCACTTGCCCCAACAGTCTGTTAGCTCTCCGTTTGTGTGACCGTGCGTCCTTCTGCTTGTCTGTCGGTGTGCCTGTCCGTCTTCCTGCCCGCCGGCGCAGTACTTGTGTGTACGTATGTACGTTGAACTTCTTTCGCACCGTACGAGGCCGACCGTGCTAATCGGAGGTGCGGGACCGTCGGGCAGCTCCACTGCCGTGTTGTGCGACGAGGCAACGCTTCCTTCAGCGGCTTCCCCCCCTCCCACCCGCCACGGTTCCGCCCCTCATAGGGATCGCCCTGCGTCTCACCGGCCACTGCCGGAGATCCCAAGCTCCGACGACATCGGCTCGCCACCCGCTCTCGACCCGGCTGCCGTCGCCACCTCTTCGTCGTCGTCCTCCTCCTCCTCCTCGTCTCCCTCGCAGTCCCAGGCGGGCGAGCAGAGGCCCCCTCGTGTGGGCGCCGCGGGGAACCCGTTTGCGAGCGACGCGGAGGAGTCGGAGGGGGAGGCCTCGTCCCCGACCTCAAGGCCGCGAGGTCGCGGGTCCAAGCAGCCTGGCGGAGCGCGGGACGGGCGCCCGGATTTCACGCTGAGCCGTAAGCACCGCCTGCGGAAGCGGGGTCGTGTTTGCGTGTCAACCCTGTTCAGATATTCGCTTTTTAATTTCAAATTATAAATTAGAAAGCATTTCGGTCATTGTGCTTCAAAGTATGTATTTGTTTTTACTGTATTTACTGGAACGCTGACATGAGATGTTACGGACATGTAACAGAGAGATGTGCGTCCTTATTAAGGACAGGCACCGTAAATTCAGTACTGAGCTTCAAGACTTCTCGTAACCCTAAGCACTATTCAAGCAAGTTGGTTTTTTTTGCACACCACTGCACCCACCCACCCACCCACCGCACACACCGTGAGCACAAAATACACTGAGATGGATACGGCGTGTCAAAATTATTCCCGGGACACCGGTTCTGGCTGAAATTAATCACTGCGGGTCGACTATATAAAAAAAATAAAGAGACGGTCGCAGCTTTGGCCTCGTTGCGCGGCTCTAACTCAATTCTCCCGGGCACCTTCAGTGGACGACCGTATGGCCTCCAAGGACCCGGGGGCGGAGACAACGAGCTCGGACGACGAGCACGAGGACCCCGCACGGCCGTCCATATCGAGCGCCTGCAGCGCCTTCCAACCCGTCGCCTCCGCTGGTTCCATCGCCGTGGTGGTGGCGGCCGCGGCGGCCGCGGCGGACGGACGGGCGATGAGACGGACGAGCCGGGGCTCCTTCCAGGCCAGCCTGGAGGAGCTGCTCAGCATGGACCCCGAGGCCCACACCAGCTCCATGTGGCTCGGCACCGAGGATGGGTGGTGAGCTGCTGTTGCACCGGGGATGATCGAACTCTCACGCCACAGTTGTCGTACGGCTCGCTGGTGGACCGGAGTAGGTGGCACGCGACTCGTAGTAGCTGCAGCCGTGGCGAGGAAGTATACTTTGTACGGTGGGCCAAGTGTCTCGGGCAGAACAAATTGAGCCCAGGGTAAATCTATGGATTTCTCTAAGTTTATGAGAATCTACGCGAGTCTGTGTCTCTTTGTGTAAATCCAGGGCTTAATCTCTTGCTCAGTATCTTCTGGGTCGCACTGGAGAGTAGGCGTGTGATTGGTAACCAGTCGTAGCGAGAGGAATACCTGATGTGGTGTATATTAAGGTGGACGCTCACAACAGCACTTGCCCCGACAGCCCACAATGTATGTATGTCGAACTTATTTCTCACTGTATGTAGCCAACCGTGATAATCAGAGGTGTGGGGGAAGGACAACAAACTAAACACAAAAGGCAGTTCTAAAGAAATGAGATTTAAAATCTAGATTTAAAACTGCATGGCTCCAGTGGCTTCCTAATGCCAGAAGGAAGAGCGTTCCTCATGGACGCAAAAGCGCATCTGAAAGCGCGCGATGCAGTGACCATCTCTGTTCGATGGTTAGCCAAAAAGCCGCTGTGAGGATGACCGAAGCTTGTGTGATGGTTTGTACTCCTTGACGAGATCAGCAATGTATTGTAGTTCATTTGTGAAATACAAAGCCACATGGGTGATCTGTGTCCCTCTGCTTGCTTCCAGCAGGCCGGTCTTCACGAAGGGTCGATCGTCGGTGATCGTTATCTGACCGTGGTTGTCCTCTTCCCCGTTGCAGTATCCACGTTTACCAATCGTCGGACAACATCCGTAACCGCAAGAACAGCCTCAAGATGCAGCACCCAGCCGCCGTCATGTGCATCCTGTAAGTGGGCCTGTCCCATTGTCCCATCCCATCATCCTCTCTCTCTTTTTTCCGTTCGCACGTTTCATTCTGATGGAGCATCCTGAACTACACGCGGCACAACCCAAAATCACAGCGGGGAGTTTTACCGCACCACCGCCACAAATTCGGCTTGTTCTCGCCTGTTGTTCCGTCCAACGCCATCTTTCTGGAAATCTCCACGGACCTGATCTTTCTTTCTCTGTTGATGTGTGCAGGTACCTGGACAACAAGGTGTTTGTGTCGCTGCTGAACGGAGACCTCATCGTGTACCAGAGGGAGGCAGGTACGATGACCTGCCCAATCACCGAGCCTCGTCTGGCTGGCACGCAGCCCACAAACAGCATTGTTTGAATCATAACACAATGAAAGTACTATATTCTTGGTTCTTTCGGTAAAGTCACGTAGAAGGGAAATAATAAAATGATAAAAATATCAAACAATAAAATTCTCACAAGCTTTCAATCAAAAAATGAAAGTTCTATTATTTGATCTAGATTTGAAGTTTCTGTGACTGCAGGGATCCATACTCTTTGTTTTTTTTGTAAATTATGATGTAGACAAAAAGTGTGCCCCCCCCCCCCCCCCCCCCCCCCCCCATCGTTTCATTATTTTAATTAAGTTAATTTTACCGGCACTGCATGCGTGGTTGAAGGAGATTGCAAGAGCTTAACCTACTTTTCACATCGCCCGCCCGTGTTCTAACGACGTCCGCGTGGGTGCGATGAAGTCAGAACATTTTTTAATATAAAAAATAGACGGTTTGGCATCTGCCGTGCGTAAGCGGCTCTCTCATCCGAGAAGCGCCACGATGGTAAGATAAATATATAACATAAGTAATGCGTCTTTGCTTGTTAAATAACTTGCTTTTTATTCACAAAGAACACAATCGGCCACACCAACATATTCGTGTGTTACCCCCGAAAGGATTCATCACGTAATGATGTTGCAACCCTTTTGTGAATGCTCTGCTGGATGGAGAGCCTCCCCATGCCGTGCAGGTTGGCGGGGCTTGGCCAGACCTCACCGTGGGGGTTTGGTAAAGACGAACAGCTGATGTAGCTGCTCACCCCGAGCTCTCATTACTCTGATAGTGCGTTGTCTTTGAACTTTGCGCCTTTTGGCGTCATCTGGTCGAACACCATATGAGATTAGGCTCTAAAGAAAGCTGTCTCTGGTGTGGACCAATTAGTTTCAAGGACAATGCATAAATAATCAGAGTATTGTTTTTTGTTTGCATTTGACTGCAAGTATTTTGGTTAATGTAAACATGATTCCTTGCAAAAGGTGTCAGTTTTGTTGCCAGAAAAAAGGGGAAAACCCTATTAGTACGAACAGCGTAGGCGAGGTAGCGTAGGACACCGCACGAGTGTATTTTTGCTGCACTACCTTCTGGTGTGGTAGTGCCTCGTATCTTTGTTTCCACTGATAAAATTGTTAATGCAACAAAAAATGTCATACATTGCATTCGCTCATGGGAATTCCAAAGAATGTTCCTAGAATTATTTTTCAGATGGTATGAGGCCCCCTCCCTCCTCCAGCATGACAATGTCAGACCGCGCTTGACCCTGACAACATTCTGAGGGTCATTGAGCGCTCGAGCGGATTTGCGTTTCCCCATCCACCCCACGGCCCAGATCTGGCACCATCACGTTTCCATCTGTCCGGCCATTTGGAGGGTGTCCTGCATGCGCAGCGTTTTGACAATGACACTACCGTACAGGACACTCCATAAACGGTTACGCGATGCTGATGAATCCTTGGAAAAGCGAGGGATTTCCTGCCCTGGTTCAACATTTGGCGCCGGCGCTTTCGAAAAGGATGGACACCCGCCTGGTGCCAATGATATGCATCCTGCTGCCAATTCAGGGTGATCCCCCAGTGTGCTGGCGGAGGGGGGCGGGGGTCACACGAGACCCCCCCATTAAATAAGTGGTGGCTGAGTCGCCGATGGAGAAGAGTCCGCGTGTGGCTGATGGCACCGACCACGAGCGGCAAAGACACAGCCGCGCGCTGTGTGCAATGGTGAAGCTTTGAAGCAGCTGCTGCCAGCTGTTCAGAACCCATCGCATGCAGTGCGCCATGGGTTCGTGCGGTTCCATACCTGCATTATGAGCTTAAAGTAAAAAAAAAAGGGACAGGTGCAGCCCTGCAAGTGCTTGCTCACTTCCACTATTGGGAGAAGGGCCTCCAATCGAGGGAACTCGAGAGGCTCGCTAGTGGATATTTGCCATGCGTAATGATGACGGGAGATTGTTTTGACGATGATGATACTTACCATGGCGGTGGTTGCGTTGACGATGGTGGTTATGATGATGTTAACGATGTCGGCGGTCGTGATGACTTGGGGGGATCGTGATAGTGGTAACGAAGCTCATGGTGGCGGGATGTTAACTACCTCACCTGGTGTACAGGAGGTCGTGGGTTCGATCCCGACCCTGATGCCTGCTGTATATTTAGAGTTTGCACGTTCTTCCTGTGGTCGCGTGGATTTTTCTCCGTGTCCTCCAGGTTTTTCCCGCCACATTTAGAAACACTCGTTTAGAGTATTTGGCTGCTCCTGTAAATTGGCACGCGATAAGCCACTTCTTTGAGCCATCATTTGTGATAGCCAGGTCGCTTCCGCCAAATAGCTACATAGCTCAGTGAGCCTTACCTGGTAAAATATAACCATTCAGTCTCAACGGTTAACGGTGACATTGGGCCCCCTAACTCGCTTGCCCCCCGCAGGCTGCTTCTGGGACTCGCAGCACTCGCACACCCTCACCGTGGGCTCCCCGGGCAACCCGGTCACCAAGATGGCGCACGTGGCCGGCCGCCTGTGGTGCAGCTGCCAGAACATCATCGTCGTCATCAACACCGCCAACCTCGTCCCGGAGGTGCGACTCAAACACCCCCGTGGCTCGATGACGCAGCGAGCGCTCGAGCCTGCCACGTGGGAGACCCGTAACGCCGCTCACTCGCTCAGCTTCTACATTCGTTTACTGCGGTTCTTTATGTACACGCGAAATCCTGTCTCCCGTCTCTTCTTCTTTGGAGCATTATTCCCAGCCTTGCCCATGCCCCCACTGCTCCCTTCTCACCTCGCCCCAACTGACGCCCGTATCGCACCCACGACTCTGACAGCCGAGGCCTCTCCACAAAATACAAGAGACCCGCTCACCGTTTGTCAATTTCTGATCGATAATCCGTCGCTTCTTTTCTGCTACCGCCGATGTCTGGACCTCTCCTTGCCTCTGATTGTTCCCCACTACGAACAACTCCCTGACTCTCCGAGTCCGGGTTAAAGAACTTCCTCTTCATCTCTGCCTTTGACTCTGCATCTTTCTTCACACCCCCCAACCCGATCCCACCCCAGTCACTCTCCCTCCCTCCCTCGAACGTGCGTCCCCTGACTGTTCAGCGTCCTTGAGGTGCGACTACATTTAGACACAGTATTAATCCACTTTTATTATACGTTACCCGAATGCCATATTAACGGCTTACTGGGTGGAGTGGTCACTGGGCTACAGGCCCAGAGGTTGAATGTGTTGCGTGATTTATACATTACTGGTTTATACCAACAGAAAACGCAGATGCTTTCCAGCCCCGTGGCAATATTTACGGACTGCTTCGGGAATATGTGCAGCGGAACTTAATTTCCGTGTTTGTCCGGGCCAAGCTGCTGGTAAACAGCCTGAAATGGTCATAAAATATCTGGGGGAAGGAATTCAGATTGAACCTGTCGACATTAATCAAGCTCACAGGCAGCGGTGGGGGGGGGAGGCAGAGTTAATGCTTCGGAGGGACTTGAAAACGTTATTTCTTGTAAATCCAATAGTAATGTTAAATAAACTGGGATGCCAGTGAATACACACCGTTGTCCTCGCTCATCCTGCCGCAGTTGGTGGCCTCGTCGTCATTGCCCATCGTCGACTCCACAAATCATTGCATCCTCCCTGCAGACCAAGACAACACAATTTGATTTATAAGGCATCTAGACTCTGGCCGCATCTCCAAGACGCCTTACAAACGGGGGGGGGGGGGGGGGGGGGAGGGAAACTTTTCCATGTAGGGCAGTTTGAGGAAGCCGGGGACTTATTGCCAAGAAGGGAATCGGGAGTCGAATGCTTTGGGGCGAATCAGGGGAATTGAAATGAGGTGAGAGCGGGAGAGCAAACGCGTCACAGTGTGGCACGCACAGTCGTAGGGAGAAAAGAAAATTAAAGTATTGATCCTGGACTTGGGAACGGGGAGGGGTGGGGGGAGGTTTCGGCGGTACGATTAGGGAGACGAAATGAATTCCACAAAGTGAATTTCCCACATTGTTGTCGATAAGCAGCCGATTCAAACACGTGCACGTTTTCGCAGCCGCTTGCGCAATCCACGTGTGTTTGTTTTTTCCTGGGTCGCGCTGCGTGCTGAGCTTTTCTTACCTCGAGCTTTTGCAACACTGCTGCGGGGGCGTCGTCAGGGAGTCAACTCCTGAAGGTGGCCAATGTAGAACGTCAACTCCTGTGCGAATGGCGGGCACCTGTGTATGTGCCAAAAACTAAACCTGCCTGCGATCAATGGGCGATTGAGCCTCCAGCATCCAAACACCTCCAGACGTGTGGATCAACGTTCTTCCCCAGAACATCAGTTGGTTGAGTCTATCAGGACAGATCTTAAAACATGTGTTTTCGCTTGCATCCCCGCCTGTGTAGATGACATGCCTTATACAGTGTTTTGCTTCATTCAGTTTAACGCCTTAAGGGTTTTGTTTGTTAATTCAGTTTTATTCTTTCATGGTTTCCGAATGGTTGGGTTATTTTTGCGCTGTGAGGCCTTGTGCTAAAGGCTCTGTATAAAAGCAACTTTTAGCTTGGTTCGTTAGAAACCTCGACAGAGCAAATAACCAACACACAGCCCGACTTGTAAAACCACACTTGGATCGTTACTGACGACAAAAACACCTTTGTTGATTTAATCAAAAAAATAACCCTTGCCACGTCCGTCCGTCTGTCTGCCGGTCCGTGTCTTCCCGATTCCCCCATCACGCGGGGCTTACCATCGCCGCAGCACACGTTCACGGTGGGGAGTGACGCGTCGCGCGCCGTCTCGTGCCTCGTGGCGTCGGGGCTCGGCGTGTGGGTCTCCGTGCAGAGCAGCGCCTCCGTGCGCCTCTACCACGCGCAGACGCGCGACTGCCTGGCCGAGATCGACGTGGCGCCCGCCGTGCACAAGATGCTCGCAGGTGCGACGTCGTCTTCGTTATCGTCATTATCATCGATTTAAAGCTTTCATGACTGCAGGGATTCATCTTATTGGTTCTTTCGGTAAAGTCACGTAGAAGGGAAGTAATAAAATAATAAAAGTAAAACATAATAAATAATATAATATAATAATTGATTTTAATAATAAAAATAAAACATATTAAAATAAATTATTATATTATTTTATTATGTTTTACTTTTATTATTTTATTACTTCCCCTCTACGTGACTTTAAAATTATATAATATAATACATTTTTTTATTATGTTTTATTTTTATTATTTTATTACTTCCCTTCTACGTGACTTTACCGAAAGAACCAAGAAGGTCATTATCATCATCGTCGTCATTATTATTGACGTCATCATCGTCATCATTGTCGTCTTTGTCATTGTCATCATCGTCGTCGTCATCATCGTCGTCGTCATCATCGCCGTCACCTAATTGGCCGCATCGCCTCTTGTCAGCATGAGTTGATTCCCGCACTCGTGGTTACGAGTGTTAGGATCGATCCCCGCTCTCTGTGATTTGATGGATTGCCACGATGATTGGGGTTGTAATTTTTATCAAAGAAGTCATTCTTTTGCTTGTCTCATTGGTATTGTTTGTCGTTTCTTTCCCGTTCGTTATGTTTTGTTACGTACATTCTTTCTCGTGTCTTATCTGTCTCATTTGTATTTTATTTTGTAAATTCAACCGCCTGCCTCGTGTTATAGTTTTTTTTCTCATGCATCGTGTCTAATTGGTACACTCTTTTTCTTTCTCTATTATTTTCTTTCTCTCGTTCGTTCGCTTAGTCTTTTGGAAGCATTTTCATGGGATTTGCATTTGTTATAAAACGATCGCTTCTTACACGTACAATTCCACGTTCGTACCAACAGCGTGAGAAGCAATTTAAATAAGGAATCATGAGTCATTAGATACTATCAACTGTGTGTCCTGATTGTGGAATGGTTAAAGCCCTGCATCCACTCGGAATGGATTTTACTTTTCACGAAAAAAACCCATCCCGGTGGCTCAGCGGTAGAGCGAGCGGCTCGCAATCGTGAGGCCTCGAGTTCAAATCCTTGTTGGGGTGAGGGCCGGCGGGGGCACGGGCCGGCGGGGCGGTCGACTCAGCCCATCAATCCTCCGTGGTCGATTGAAACGTGCCCCCTCGCGCGCGCGTTGCGTGTCTCCAGGCGCGGACGCGATCATCCGGCAGCACAAGGCGGCGTGCCTGCGCGTCACGGCGCTGCTGGCCTGCAAGGACATGCTGTGGGTGGGCACGAGCGCCGGCGTGCTGCTCACCCTGCCGCTGCCGCACATCCCGCCCAAGCTGCCCTCCACGGCGCGGCACAACGCCGCGGCCGCTCCGTTGCCGGCTCCCGTCACGGTGGCGGCGGCGGCGACGTCGCCGTTAGGGACCCAGGGGCCGCCCCTCCTGGCCCAGCTGTTGCCCATGGGCTCGACACACGGCCACACGGGCCACGTTCGCTTCCTCACCTCCATCGAGCTGCCACTGGACGCGGCTGCTGAGACTGGGCCGGTCGGGTCGGCCGACAAAGGTGCGCTCGCGTTCGCCGGTTGCAGCGGTTGAACTGAAGCTAAACTTTTTTTATTTTTTTTATTTTCCTGGCCACAAATTATAACTCAACGAAGTGGCTTGTCACGTGGAAATTTACAGCAGCCATATCATTTACAGTAGCCATAAACGCATGGTGCTAAATGTGGAGGGAAAAACCGGAGGAGCCGGAGAAAAATCCACACGACCACGGGGAGATAGACATGCAAACTCCAGTGTCGGGATCGAACCCACAACCTCCTGTATGCCAGGCGAGGTAGTTAACAATTGTGCTTCTGCGCACCGCCCTTGATGCGGTCGTCGTACGGCACGACGTCCGACGTTTCACTGCACGTGCTCAAGAGGCCCCCAGCCCCTCCCCCTTAGCGAGCCCGCACTGACCAGCGTGGTGAAGTATGGTCAAATAAAATGCCATGACCGACATGGCTTGGGCGGGAAGGCCTTCATCCAACAGTATACTGACAAGAGGGTTTAAATTATAGTTTTGTTTTATTGTTTTTAAATGTCACCGAGAGTTGTAGCGTTGTTAATGTCATTATCATTCCTACCCCAGAAGTTTATTACTGAACATCATTACCCAGTTCTGCAAATAAGTGCGAGTTCTTTGACTTCCTGTGTATGTGTTGTGCATTAAAGTGAAAAACATCTCAGCAGTTTCAAATTGTACCAAACACGTTTACCGAGGTTAAAAAAGTGCATTCTCACCTCTTAGTGTCATCTTCGATACTTTAGTTACCATTTTAACGGGATGTACACTCACGGGATTCGAATGCCGTGTTCAGACTTGCATCGGCTCGCGCTCTGTGTCAGTGACGTGTGAATCGCACTGCGAATCGTTACCGACGACGGTGATTAGACGTGTAAAGATTCGCCTGATTATTGTAACAATAGTCAGTCCGATTTACAGCACTCGCTAAAACCTGTGCTGTGAGTCGCTACCACGAGCGATTCGATTGTCAAACCTCGGCTTCAATTTTTCGCTCAAGAAGCAATTTGTTTTGCTCTTTGGTTTTAGCCGTCTCATTTGTTTTGTTCCTCATTCAAATTCGGTGTCATTCGCAGTTTTGTCGGCCTCATCAGCCTTAGCAAAGTACGAGCGTACAAAGTTATAATAATTGATTCTCACACGGCACCGTTCAAAATCTTAGCGTGACCGCAAAGAGTCCCGATTCACTTGACGAATCGACACGTTACGCTTTGCACACCGATTAGCACTTCCGATTGGCTACACACAGTGCGAAAGAAGTTCAACATACATACACCGAACGACGACGACGACGATGCTCACATCGTCAAAATGTTTTTCCCATTTTCGTGCGACGGCCCTGCCCAGGCCGCCTGGGCACCATCTACGACGGAGGCTGCGTGAACCCTCACCACCAACAACAGCAGCAGCAGCAGCACACGTGGGCTCGCCAGGGCTCCGCGCGGCGCCGGGCCCAGGCCGCCGCCCCCCCTCGCACGCGCACGCTCGTCATCAGCGGCGGAGACGGCTACGAGGACTTCCGGCTCAGCGGAAGCAACGAATCCGCCGGGCGGGATGACAGCACCAACCACTTGCTGTTGTGGCGCGTCTGATCGGGCGGTTCTCACAAGCAGCGCCAGCTGTTGCTGTGGTCCGGCGCGAGCAGCCCTCCGCTGTGAGAACGTCGCAGCGGTCGTCGTCGTCGTCGTGTTATTTATTTTTTATTTGTTTGGTTTGTTGATGCCGTTATGAGTGGCGGAGAGCACTGTGGGGGTGGGGAGGCACAAGTTATTGGGGTTAGAGGACCGGACACAGGCTTTGAGCGGTGCTCGGAACAAAGCGAGATGTTCCGATGCACCTTTGCACCCAATGTGCGTTCCTTACCGATGTACGTCACAACACAACATGAATTGGATAGATGAAACCTTCGGATTGATTCGCATCTGAAGATTATGTTCAAGTAAGGGGGACTGCACACATGAAGGGAGATTTGGAGAAAAATGAAGAATGTTTTTTTTTTGCAAGTAGTGAGGAGGTAGGAGTAAGCTGCAGGGCAGAAAAGAGGAACCACAAGATGGTGAGATTGAATAAGTGAAGAATGATTTTGGCCAGGGATGGGGGGGGTGCACGCTGGTTAATCCGGCAAATGTGAAGGCAGGGTTGGTGGCTCGTGCTGAGACCATGTGTGTGGGACAGCCACCGTCAAAGGCAGTGAGTGGGCCGTGTGAGGCAGTACAGCAAGTACGTTGCGAAGAGGTGACAAAAGGGGGTCCCAAAATGTAATTCTTTTTTGTACCACCAACACACCGCATTCCTAGACCCTTGCACACGTTTTCAGTGCAATCACCATATAATTTGGATCAAATATATGTTTGTGTGTGTCTCTCTAGCCTGGAAAGCTGAAGTCAGAATCTTGACTTTGGATAGCCACGTACACGCATGCGGCTAAAAAGCATGGGTAGTAAGTCGATGTGAAGACGTGCCAACGTTTGTCCCGGTTTACGGCGTCGAGCATGCCTGGGCAAAAACCTTTTCCTTAAATGTGATGCCAAACCCAGGTTGCGTTTGTGGTATCGCCATCTCAAATCGGACATCGCCCTGCAGCCGGGTTCGCAAGCTTGCATGATGATATCACCCGGACAGATTTGGCGCTACCACAGGCGGCACTTTGTCATGCGGCGTTCCTGATGGTGGCGAGAGAACGAACGTTGCATTTTTGAGCATCCATGTCATGGGAAGCGGCCCTTAAGTGGTACAAAATGCTTGCCAAGCAAGACCGACACCTGCCCAAGGGTATACAACGTTTAACAGCCCAAATTGTGTGCATCTTCCAGAAAGTAGACCAGCAGTGGAATTCAGTTGTGGCGATGGAAAGTCACGCACATTGCTACGCTGCGCACATTTCAGGATGACAGGTGGAAATATGTATGCATCCGGCATGCTCGTTTCATGACAAAACGTGAACATTACTAGTAACGTGTTAATAGAAGTGTTGACGGATGTGCACCCGTCTCTGCAACACTGCTCCGCAGGTGTGACCGATTTCTCAAAATCCCTGGTTGGTTCGTTGGAATATATATTCAACAAGTCCTGCCTTTGATGCAAACTCATTTTCGTAAAGTCCAAATTGCATCGCCACAAAATTGTATTTATTAATATGAAGGTTTGCGTCCTACTGTAAGCTTAGTCCGCGTGTTCCATTTGGCCCCAATTTTTGAAGCTCCACTGTTAACGAAGCCTATCGAACAATGCCGGCTCGGGGGGGGGGGAATGCAGGCTACAATGAGCGTCCACGTAAAAAACAATCTCAAAAACCTGTGCCAATGTTCAGTCAACTTGTCACAAAATTATGCTACGAAACACCTTGGTAATAATCACGTGCAAAATTGAGGCAGAACAGAGTTTATAGTGCTGTACGTTTTGCCTTTTTTTATTACTTCTAACCGGGGACACTAACTGAGGTTGTGTATTCCGCGGCTGCCAATGGAGTGCACTTAATTGATCTGTAAGTCTATTTCCTGTGGCCCTGGCAGATGTCATCCCGTTTCCTGTGCAATATGCTGATGAGACACATTTACAGTAGGAAAACGATTTACTTTGACTTGTATGCATCACCTTTGATTTTTTTTTGGTTTGTTTAATTGGTGTTAAGCAAATTACACGTTTTATAGACTTGTGGAAAACAAAAAAAACTTGGGCTTGCAATTTGATCGATGGAATGTGGCGGTTGCCATATTTACGAACAAACGAGTTGCATGACCTAATCGTGTGATAGAAAGTTTACCCTTCGAATTATATTTTCTGCCATTTTCGAAAACAGAATATAACCAAAACCTTGAGGTGATATTTTTGAGAACATTCACGATTCAGAAACGGTGTTGTCTCGGACCAGAACATTACTGTTTTTAGACAAATCTTCCGTATTTTTTTTATTCATACTGTATCGCAGGAAACTATATAAATATTGTTTTAAGCGAGAACTATTTTGAGCATTGATAAAAAAAGAAAAATCACATTTCCTTAACCTGTGGATCATTATCATTGAAAACCACACGGAAAATGTGTCGGTTTCAAATTCACACTTAACACCTTATTCACGGTACATGTATTTTTTTTTGTCTCGACATCAACAGCACTTAATCACAAGCCGTGGAGCCGCTGCGAGATTGCAATTACGTGCGCATGGGTTTAAGGAGCCCTGATTTTTGTAGGCACTTCGTGCACACGGTGGGATATTTTTAGTGTGCGGCGGTGTCAGCGCTGTTGTCACGTTGGATTGACTGTGCGTCACCTGTAAGACGATGATCCCTTCCTGTGCATAGCCTGCCCCCTACTACACAACAGCGTAGCAGTCAACGTCACCGAGCCTTTAAAACCAAAGGCTCATCGCGGCTTATTCAAACGGAGTTGAAAATATAAATGTAGTACGATGGCGTTTTTTTCCATTTTGTTTTATACTCATCACTTTCGTTTTGACACTTCTAATTTATACGCACAGTCAAGTTTTTTTGTTGTTCATTTTTTTTTTATATCTATATTATAGCCGTTCTGCCCATATAGCATGCGTTGCGTGATCGGTCCAGTATTTTATTTTTTAAGGCTGCAGCACGGACACAGTCTCTTTAAGTCGCATCTATCCTCGCAACTCAACCACCCACTTCATTTTGAGTGGATTTATATTTTACAATCGTAGTTTGGTAGATCTCATGCTCAACCCCACATTTTTCACCGCATTTAAGACAAAAAGAGCGTATTTATATTGCAGAGATTTGTGAAAGACTCCTCTCGCAACACAGCTCACACACAACAGTGGCAGAGGGGAGAACGTTTGGCACTGCACTGAAAAACCTGGCGTTGGGAAATTATTTGCACGCAACAATCGCTCGATCTTTATTTATAGGATGATTGCATTGGTTTTTTTATTCACTATCAGTCGACAAATAGTATAATTTGACCTCTTCTTTCACTCGACCACTGATCCGAGGCCTTGCTAAAGCCAGCCCAGCGTGGTTCAGCTAGCGCTAGATTGTTTTTCGACTGCAGAACCCGAGCCGTGCCACTAATGTCATACAATCCAGTGTACCGACTGATGCACCATGTGATGAAAATGATTAACCACGCCACTCTGGCCCTGCTTGGCCCCTGAGCCAAATTCGGAGTGCTTGTGAGGCCAGCGTATCACAGTTCGGTTCTGGCTCGGCACGGCAAATAGCCAGTGGAACACACCAGCTGTGCCGTGAGGGCCCCGTGTTAGCACGGCTTGGATATGCCCCACTGGAATGTGGGTATTAATTTTAATCACCAAGCTGCACTGGTCAGTGTGGTGAAGAATGGTCAAATAACCTCTATGGCTGACTCAGCATGGAAGGCCTTCATCTATCAGTGAATTGACAAAAGGTCTATAATAAATAAAACTGCAATCTTGGCATTGGCTGTGATGGGCTCATGAATCAAACACTATTTGACAACTTGTTCAATCAAGACATGTCATCGTATAACTAACGATTTAACAGTTTACCCAAGGATATCCATAACACTGACCGGCATATTTGCAGTCATTTAATACAGCTATTTGTCGACTGAGCATCGGTTGTTGAATTTTTCAGGACGATCATTTCTTTCATTACAGTGCCTTACGACAATAATTTTAGCTTCACAGTATAGGTTACTCAGTAATTAAGTTTTGTAAATACTTTTTGTTAGATCAGTGCACATATTATGTCATGATGCTACTCGTACATTCAGTATAAGTAACAGCGGTCCGACATTGTATATATTGGTATATATTGATATTGCTGTTTGTACATAAGATGCTTATAAGAGCCCTGCAGAAGTGTGGATATGAATGTAATTGAACACAACATTGTTATTTTTGAGTACATGTACGTTTCATACACGGTGGCACAGATTAATATTCACACTTTAAAAATGGCCCTTATCAGGACAGTGGAAGCAGTGGCGAGGTCAAGAGGTCATCATTAACTGTGACGACCTCTTGACCATGAAACGATTGTGTGTATTTGAGAAGAAAAAAAACAATCCATTCCAAAAAATACCCAGGAGAGAATCTATTCCAGGAGTTTTTTTGAATGCACATCACGAATGGGATATTTGACAATTCTCTATATGAGTAATTTTGCACGTGAGAGGAGACTTGCGCTGCGGTGGCGGGATGTTAATTATCTCACCTGGTATACAGGAGGTCGTGGGTTTGATCCCAACCCTGACACCTGTGTATTTGGAGTTTGCATGTTCTCCCCGTGGTCGCGTGGATTTTTCTCCGGGTCCTCCGGTTTTTCCCTGCACATTTAGAAACATGTGTTTCGAGTATTTGGCTGCTATAACACTTCCACGTGATAACCCTCTTCGTTGAGCTTTCATTTGTGGCCAGGTTTCTTCTGAAAAAGAGCTACGTAGCTCAGTGAGCTTTACCTAGTAAAACAAAATATCGGTTCGTTTAGATTTAGTTGATAATTTTATCCCAGAGACAAACCACACTCCATACAATTAGCACATCAGTATACTACTTGTTGTATTTCCTCCTACGTGTTACCGCCCCGCTACCCAGCAGGTGTGTGCCTGATTGTGGTTCTTATCTGAGCCATATATTGCAGACTTATGCTTTCACATCAGTGCTCCTTACAAAAAAAAAACTAAATTTGCTAAATCACTTAACAGTTGCGAATAAATAAGAAAGTTAACGTAATGGTTTTGTCTCGTTCACCTGTTGATCATGTAATCATATGTTTGAGCCTTTGCCGAAAAATGTTTTGAGACAAAATGTATATTTAATTTAAATCCTTCACTAAACATCAGGTGCAATGGTGACACGGTGGTTGGCACCCAACCTCGGGCTAACATCAGTGGCGAGTGATAGCTGAACCAGTACGGTGAAGTAAGTTCAAGAAAATCCCTCGGACCAAATAGCTTGCGGAGGATTTTACCATCATGAGTCTGGCAAGGCTGTAATTTATTATTGAACATCAGCCAGCCTGCAGAATACTTAATCTCACGCAGTCTGCATTGCGACAACCACCCCCCTGGCTTTTGATGCCTCAAAATGTTTAAATTTCCACCGCCCTTTGCAGTACTGTTGAGCGTTTTGAGTGGACATTAGTTTGGGCCACCTTGTGTATAAATGTGTGCAGCATACTCACCCTGGCGTATAATCTGTGCGTTTGCGTTCTGAGCGTCGCTGCCACGGTCACGCGAGCTTGTGCTGTTACGGGTGCGCGACCCAAAGGTAGTGGCTCTAAAGCTATCCCACAGTGCACGCGTTTCGATGTGCCGTGTCCACCCCCATGTTAAATGGCACGGCGTTCCGTCATTAAAATTCACACAATTGTACCACTTGACGGGGTGTGTGTGTGTGTAATTGCGTTTCTTTTTACGTGTTCGTATTTTGTGATTGCACCCAGCAACTAAATAGCGTCGCTGATGATATTTTAGACGCTGTGTGATAATCTTTGTCCGAGTGTGTTTTTCCATTACAATGTTGCTTTGTACTTTTAGCTGACAGACTAATACAATATAATGTAACACAAATATGGGGTCAGGGTCAGTGTGAAAGCTGGCTTTGTAAAGACACGCACAGTTAGATGCATTGGTCATGATTCAGGGTCATGGTTTGATTCAAGAATCAATTATTGTTTTCTCATATTTAATGTATTGTTTTCTTATTCTGTGTCCGTCTTGGACAATCGCATTCTTTATATTAACAAAAGTCCAAAATAACAGGTAGATTCTCCTTGCATACATTTTGGTGATGGTAATACATTTAAACAAAGGGATTGTTACTTGCCTAGTACATGCAAAGATCTGAATGAAAGCTGATACAAAATTAGTCCATCTGCTGAAAGTGTCATCATGCATCGCCTGAGAGTATACTTAGCTGACTCTTTATGATGTGTTGTCTGTGCAGTCTTAGTGTAGCTATTCCAATTGTATACATGGTCTTATTGTGGTATTTGTTTAAATCCGGCCACATTTGTGAGACTGGCTCACGGCATCAGGTTTGCTGAATCAAATGCCTTTTCATCAACTACAAAAGCCATACATAATGGTGTTTACTATTCATTTATCTTCTTTAGACTCTGCCTGAAGGCTGTTCAAAGCGACACGATATATTTTATGAAATTGGAATGAAGAAATAAAGCCTTGAATAGTAAGAGCATTAACCATCTCGAATTTGCTGACAACATAGCCCTTTAACACGTAGGCTTTCGCGACCAGTGTTATTCATAATCAACGTTTTTGGGTTTAGATCGCGTTATTTATAAATGTGTCGTAACCCTCCACCACCCGACACGGCCAATCAGCAATTGCCCGATGATGCTGGATGCAATTACCAGCGAAACGTCGTACTCAAATTGTAAATGTTGTGGCTTCAACACACCGGTGGGCTAAAGCAGTGAACTATTTGTCTTTGTCAACGTGACACATTTTTGCTGATTGGCCGTGTCGGGTGGTGGAGGGTTACGACACATTTATAAATAACGCGATCTAAACCCAAAAACGTTGATTATGAATAACATAGCCCTTATAAAAACCAAAGGTAATGAACTAAAGAGAATGATACAATAACTGTATAGAATAAAGGCCACAATGTGGGGCTAAAAATAAATGTGAGGAAACCCAAAATGATTTGCAACAAAAGAAGAATTGCTGTGACACAAACGAAAATCACAAAAGGGCATGTATTTACCATATAGGAGCATAAACCATCACGGAAACTCCGGTCATCCTCGCAGCGGCTGTTGGCTATCAATAAAACAAAGACGGTTACTGCATCGTGTGCTTTCAGACGCGCTTCTGCGGCCGTCTGGAACGCTCTTCCGATATTAGGAAGCCACTGGAGCTATGAACTTTTGCATTTAGGTGGAAAACTAATTTCTTTAGAACTGCTGTTTGTGTTTAGTTTGTTGTCCTTCCCCTGCACCCCCGATCGGCACTGGTTGGCTACGTACGGTGCGAAAGAAGTTCAACATACGTATAGTGCAAATGATTGAATGTGGACTCGGATGAAAATTATTAAACTATCAAATAACCATGTAAGAGCAGGATAAAATGTTTTTCAAATGAAGGTGCTCGGTATGTGCTTATTGTCTGCCGTGAAAGGGATTGGAAATGTCAAATCTGACAATACAGCACGATGTAACAAAGCTGTAGAGTAATCCTTTATCACATAGTCATAGAGAGATGCATGCCGGGAATAAAATGTATACAGTATAATACATTTCGTATTTATATAGCATCTATATGCAACCGCATATCAAGATATGCTGTACAGAGGAGGCGTCCAGGGGAAATGAGGCTTATTTATTTATAGGAGATAAAAAAAACGGTGGTCATGGGCAAAATAACAGAGGGAGATAACGATGAACTTGGACTTGAAACAGGCAAAGGGGCCTGACAAAATAGATAGCTGGGGGAATGGAATAACACTTAGAGACATGCAAATTATAAACATCGTGCTGACTTACGTTTAAGTCGGCTTCGGTGGGACACATAACAAATAGTATGGATTATGGTGATGGATGATACTGGTGACAAAATGGGAACCAACGGAGGGAACGGCCAAGATGATGACTCAGAGGTGGATCGAACTGCAGATTGTGGCATCACGGGACCTTGCATCCAGGGATGGTGGCGACCAAGGGTGTGAACGACTTGTTTAAAGAAAAAAAAACCTGACGTGCAATTAAAGTATATACGTGTAATCCAATAGCCTACATTTCTTAGAAAAAATATATAGATTTCATGTTTAAACTAAGAGCATGTTAAAAAATTAATGATTTTCAATGTGCTTGATTGTAAACGCATTTACAAAAATAACTAACCAGCTCAATGAGTGGACATCAGATGTGGAATGTTTCACAAGAGTACCCATCCAGATTACTGTCGACCAACAAATAGAATATGCCATCGCAAATTTATAGGGCAGTTATTAAAAACAATCACGAGGCCTTTTTTTATGCAATTTAAAATCCCTCTACAGGGTGTTTCAAAAAGATGGACCCAATTTGAGAGATATAGCGATTTCAAATCGGGTCCATAAATTAAACTATATAAACACATTACGTTACCCTATTTAATTACCTTATCCACTGAAGCCATTCGATCATTGTGACGGAATGGAAAGCTAAACGGACACACGAAGACACGTGTAGTTTTCACGCGCGGCCAACGCTCGTTTCAGAACTCCATTCACACAAGAGGGCCGGATTTCACACGAAGCCCTACGATTTTTAATAGGTAGAGCCTCGGTGCGATTGCTGCATTAGATGCTAAACAACTTCGATTTGACACCCGACCACGTGTTTACGCAATATTGTGAGCCGCCGTCCCCTAAAAAAGGGGGGCAACTGGATTGTTTGCGACGCAGATGGAACTTCATCCTGCTCATCGTCACTCCTCCGAGCCAAAAACAAAGACTAAAAAAACCTCCCAAAAACATTCGTCAATAACACTGTTAGTAGGGGAGGGGGGGAAATGAAAAATATATAAAAATAGGCGACGTTCGGACAATGGCACTTCTTCATAGCAGATCGTGTGTATTGACGAATGTTGCCGTGTTTAATTTTCGATTTAAAGCTTTCGTGACTGCAGGGATTCATCTTCTTGGTTCTTTCGGTAAAGTCACGTAGAAGGGAAGTAATAAAATAATAAAAATAATAAAACATAATTGTTTTATTATGTTTTATTTTTATTATTTTATTACTTCCCTTCTACGTGACTTTACCGAAAGAACCAAGAAGTTGCCGTGTTTGTTAATTGTGCGTCGCTGCCAACACTGCGACAGCAGCATCACCAATTCATGTGGGACAATCACTGTCTGCAACTCCGTCGATTAATGGTCTGCAAAGACGACTGGGCTACTGTTATTGTGGTCGATTCCAAACCCGTCAACCCCCTTATCAGTGCCCCCTACCTCATTACAGACCAATTCAGACCTCATTGGTCACCCCGTGCCCTTATAAATCTCAACGTTCATCCTACAACGTCCCATCACAAGGGAGAAACAAACAAATAAGACAAACACCACCACTACACACTCACCACTAAACTCACCACTTGTACACTCACCATTTGTGCACTCACCACTAGTACACTCACCACTACCCTCACCATGACATACATGTGAACCCCTTATCAGTGCCCTACCTTATTACAGACCAATTCAGACCTCATCGGTCACCCCGTGGCCCTATAAATATCAAAGTTCATCCTAAAACGTCCCATCACAAGGGAGAAAACACAAAGAATTACACAAAAAACAAAAAAATATGCCCGTATTAAAACGTCTGCGCGCCTTACGGACCTGAAAACTTAATTTCCCTGTACAAGAGCACGGGGTTTACACCGCGCGGGTCTGACAACTATGGGATTACTCAATGACCCTTTAATATCGGCGGCCGTCCTGGGCCCCCACCGCCCCCTCCCCATCCTCCCTACTCGAAGGTGGGAAACCCCCCCCCCCCACTACCTGCAAGCCTCGCACAGCGTGACGCTGCTCATGATGACGGGCGGTGCGTCCCCAAAATAGCCTCCTCCCCTCAATTGAAAAAACACCTCCCGTCCAGCGGCACACGTGGGGACAGGTGAGAGTTTCTCGAGGTGACCAGGGGGGTGACCAGCCCCTCCCCACCCAGCCCCACCCCTCCCACCACCCACCCAGCAGGACCCTTCCCACCCAGCCCCTCCCCACCAAGCCCCTCCCCACCCTCCCCTTCCCCACCCAGCCCCACCCTCCCCACCCAGCCCCTCCCCACCCAGCCCCTCCCCACCCTCCCCACCCAGCCCCTCCCCACCAAGCCCCTCCCCACCCTCCCCTCCCCACCCAGCCCCACCCTCCCCACCCAGCCCCTCCCTCCCCACCCAGCCCCTCCCCACCCAGCCCCTCCCTCCCCACCTAGCCCCTGCCTCCCCACCCTCCCCACCCAGCCCCTCCCTCCCCACCTAGCCCCTTCCTCCCCACCCTCCCCACCTAGCCCCTCCCTGCACGACGGACACAATAATCCCCTGTGGGCTGGTGTCACCATGAGGTTCCTACCACTATAAGTGCCAGTGGGGTGTGTGTGGTGTGAGAGACAGGAGCGGTGGTGCAGTGGTTAGCGCTCCGAAACCCCGGGCGACCCCGAGTTCCATTCCCGCTCACGGTCAACATCCAGTGACGATTATCTGAACCGGTCTCGTGCGTCCCCTAGGTCGACTCAGCCTCAAATGAGTACCCGGTGCTGTGCGCGTAGTAAACATCGCCACTGAGGGGTTATGAGCCGTCCATAAATGACGTCACGCGACTTTGGACGATTTTTGATCCCCCCCCTTCGTCACACGGCGTCACAAAAAGTCAGACCCCCCCCCCTCAAATATGACGTCACAGAGCTCTGCCCCCCCCCCCCAAAACAATAAAGCATGCTTCAAATCGCTATAAACTATTGTCATTGTAGTGCGTATTTAAGGTGCCGCTGCACTCTGATGTTGTAGGAGAAAACATTTATTGCAAAGTCTATTTAATTAAGTAGAACGTGTTGTCCATATTTATTTAAAGTTGCACATTTTGATTTGACGTCACGTTTCTCAAACCCCCCCCCCCCTCGTCACACATCGTCACAAATGTCTGACCCCCCCATAGGTGCGTGACGTCATTTGGGACAAACCTTCGGCAGTTTTTGTCTTGCTGTGGTTGTCCCACCTGATGACGATTGCTTGTGTTGCGATCGAAACGTCGTGATCTGTTGTTGTTGTCGTTGTTGTTGTTGTCGGATCCTCAAATCTTGTAAATCAATTTTAACCCACTTCCCAACGTGGTATCGACTGCAAACTTTGTATACTTATGTCATACTGATGACAATACTATATTCTATCATAAAAAATAGATATATATTTTAAACAATCTTTTTACACGCTTTCTATTAACTCAGTCTGTCTGTTGTTGTCGTATCCTCAAATCTTGTAACTCAATTTTAACCCACTTCCCAATATGGTATATACTGCAAACTTCGTATGCATATGTCATACTGATGACAATACTATGTTCTATCATTAAAATAAATAAAATGTAACCCATCTTTGTATATGTTATGTTTCGGCTTGGGTCTAATTGTCCACGCTCAACTAACGTTGGCTGTAAATTACCACGGTCTATTACGTTATGGAAAGCTTCGGGGCCACTTCCTGGAGTCGTGGAGTTCTGCCATTACTAGTACGGTACATTTCATTAAAGCGTGTTTAAAACAAAAAGTGTTTTTAAATAGTCACTTATTAAATCCTTTATATTAAGTTCGCTTGCTTGCTTAGGACCGTGCAAATCTTTCGGTCGTTTTTTAACCCACTTCCCGTGATCCAATCGAGCTGACATTTTCCACACAGACTCGTTGTGCGTGACAATTAATGTTCGTGAAAAATGTTTTCCAAAATTTTACACTTTTTAGGACAAAAATATTATATTTAATTACCAATTTCTTAATGGTGCAATGCAATCATCTGACCCATAGGTGGCAGCCATCTCAAGCCAGAGGACGAGAGGACTCTAGCCGCCACGCATATAAAGGATGTATAGTGAAAAACTTAGTTTTTACGGGTTATACTTATTTTTCTACCTACGTGACTTTACCGAAAGAACCAAAGAGTTGTGGATTCCAACACTCCTGCTGTCAATGAATCTTTGTGTTCGTCGAGGAAGGCGAACGGTAGAGGGCGCAAGAGGTTGGTTGTGCCACCACCCCGGTATGCGTAGAGGTGGGGGGACTGCCGGGGAAGAAGCATTGATGGTGGTGGTGATGGTGGTATGGTGATGGTGGTGATATGGTGATGGTGATATGGTGATGGTGGTGATGGCAAGGCGGGCTGTAGGGGATTGTTGGTGGCTCCTGCTACGTACACTCGGGTACGTGGAAATGCGTGCGCGTGTGTGTGGTATTGTGTTATTGTGTGTTAGCTTCGTGAGTGTGTGTTGTGTTGGCTAAGTGTGTGTGTGTTGTTGTGTTGTGTGTGTTGGCTTCGTGAGTGTGTGTGTGTTGTTGTGTGTTGTGTGTTGGCTTCGTGAGTGAATGTGTTGTTGTGTGTTAGCTTCGTGAGTGTGTGTTGGTGTTGTGTGTGTTGTTGTGTGTTGGCTAAGTGTGTGTGTGTTGTTGTTGTGGGTGTTGTTGTGTTGTGTGTGTGGTTGTGTTGTGTGTGTGTGGTTGTGTGTTGTCTTCGTGAGTGAGTGTAGCGGTAGTTTTAGCGAGTGGCCGACAATCCCTCCATGCTCCCGGCTTCAATTCCCACTCACGGCCACCATCATCACCACCATCATCATCAACCTCCATCATCAACCTTCTCCTCCTCGTCCTCCTCGTCCCCCCCGAGGACGACTCGGCTTCAAGGGAGCACCTGCGGGTTGCTGTGTGCCCCCAAACAAACACAACATCGCCACTGGGGGAGAGACAAAGGCGGACGGGCGGACTGGCATCGTTGTTGGTGACCACCCCTCGAGTCGTTTGCCGGCTTTCGACATCGTCGCTCGCCAGCAGCACTTGCCCCGACATTCTGCTGAGGCTACACGGGGGAGCTTTGCCTTTATCTGTGTGTGTGTGTGTGTGCGTTGGGGTGGGGAGTGTTCACGTGTCGGCCTCAATGTTCTCCGTGCAGTTCACATTCCGTCCAGTTCCACGACGGGCTTCACAATCACTCACTCACACACCACGTACCACACACACAACCACGTCCTCCTTCATGTTACAACATCGTGTGTTGCTGCTGCTGCCATACAACAACCTTCTTGTAACCCTGTACACAACACCATGGGGCTCGGCAACGTCACAAGGTACGTTGCTGTGTGTGTTGTGTGTGGTGGGCACAAAGCGGGTCTGGAATACCGACACTGGAGACATTTGAATCGGTACTGGCTGGGCCTCCTCCCCTAGGTCGACTCAGCCTCAAATCAGTACCTGGTGTGGATTGTTGTGAACATCGCTGGGGGAGGGGGGGAGAGAGACAAAGGCGGTCGGGCGTGGTGGTTGTGGCCACCCCTAACAACCTCGTGTGGGTTGCTACTCGCTAGCAGCACTTGCCCCGGCAGGCTACACGGGCGGTCTTTGCCTTTGTTTGGGTGGGCATCATGGGCCCTGTTGGTATCATGGGCCATGTGTTGGCATCATGGGTTTTGAATATTCACATGTCTTGTGATTGTCTTTGTTGTTGAGGTGGTCTGCACTATTGTAAAACTAATAGGGTCCCACACACACACATACAAGTTGTCAACATTATAAACTCGACCTTTTTTTAAACCATATATGGAAGCATTACATCTTCATATTTCATTGTACTTCCAATAAACACCACCACCACCACCGTCCTCTTATGGTACTCTTAGTTAGTTTCACTTCAGTGCAATACCATGGTAATGATGGTGAGCATAATTGTCTATCTACTATTTTACAATACCATCATCATCATCTATCACTATAATTCACCAACACTGTCTTCAGCAGCCATTGTCATTTAATCTAGTACCATAACCGTATCTACTACTACCACCACTGTTAGTATCGTCTTCATCGCCTTACTGTCAATGTACCATCTCAGTCACTGGCAGTCGATTGAAAACGATCGATCGACAATGATAATGTTGACGATAATCACGCTCATCTCAAATTTCCACCACCACCATCATCAAAATCATCATCTCCCATCAATGTTATTCATCATCATCGGATGCTTGCTGCACTGAATCTCAGTGCCGTGTTGTGGGCAACAACACAGCCTGTGACACAACAACAATAGATGTGCTGTTTTAAAATATCTATATTCTGTTAATGTATAAATCTGGGTTTTTGCTGGTGGCTGGAGGAGATTGTGGCATTCTGCTGCTGTACTTGCAGCACATGCTTAGAGAGAGGGGTTGGGGAGTCTAAATATAGTTAACTCGCATTAATTCAATAAGCACTGTAGTATTGTAAGTTGAACATTGCTACACATCCCGTGTGTGTATCTGCATGTATGCAACTTCACGCCCACGGCCAACACCAGTGACGATTAATTGAATCTATCCCAGACCTCCCCCTAGGTCGACTCAGCCTAAAATTAGTACCTGGCGTTGCGGTGTTGTAGTAAACATCGCCACTGGGGGAGACAAAGGCGGCCGGGCGTGGTGCTGTACACCCACCCCCTCGTGTGCCTTTATAGGTGCTACTCACTAACAGCACTTGCCCCTACAGCCTGTTACAGGCTACACGGGGGATCTTTGTCTTTATTGTATGTCTGTAGGTGCTCGCTAACAGCACTTGCCCCTACGCCTGTTACAGGCTACACGGGGGATCTTTGTCTTTATTGTATGTCTGTAGGTGCTCGCTAACAGCACTTGCCCCTACAGCCTGTTACAGGCTACACGGGGGATCTTTGTTTTTATTGTATGTCTGTAGGGGCTTGCTGACAGCACTTGCCCCTACAGCCTGTTACAGGCTACACGGGTGATCTTTGTTTTTATTGTATGTCTGTAGGGGCTTGCTGACAGCACTTGCCCCTACAGCCTGTTACAGGCTACACGGGGGATCTTTGTTGTGTGTCTGTAGGTGCTTGCTGACAGCACTTGCCCCTACAGCCTGTTACAGGCTACACGGGGGATCTTCGTATTTGTGTATATGTACACAGTACAGTGCATGTGATTATCCTGTATATTGTGTGTGTGTGTGTGTACAGTACTGTATTTGTAAGCCCCTACGAACCCGGCGACCTGAGTTCCATTCATCCAGCCACGGCTAACGTCAGTGGCGTGCCCTATCAGAGCACCGCTGCTGGGTCGACTCATCGCCACCGGGGAGACAAAGGCGGCCGGGCGTGGTGCTGCTGACCACAGCACCACCACCACCACCGCCTTCCACACTCCCCCCTGCGTTGAACGCTAAGAACACTTGCCCCAAAAGTATATATTAGGCTATACGGGGGACCTTTGCATGTGTTTGTGTGATACAGCTCTGGTCACTCCACTGCTGGATGAAGTGGACGTGTACACAATCCATGTGTACCACAGTGCACTGCTGGAATTAATACATAGTGCTGCAGGGTACTGCATTGAGTGTTAACATAATGTCTAATTCTAGATTTGAAGCTTTCATGACTCTTAGTTCTTTCGGTAAAGTCATGTAGGTAAAAAATGAAATTAAAATTAATAAAGATAAATTTTTATTTTTTATTTTTATTAACATAATGTCTGTCATACACACTGTGTATTTGTAGTAGACTCGTGTTAAAGGGAAGCAATGTTCCGGGTGCTGTTCAAATGCTGCCTTGGTTTTAATTGGGATTTATTTTTAATACCTTTATACAGCAGTGCGCAATTTTAATATGTGCACGTCCAATATTGCACTGCTCTGATAAGTTCTGCCTTGGCGACATGGAGCTTCCAGGGGCCAACACGCAATATCTCCCATTCAAGAACATACTTGACACATACACGGCAAAATTGGACCTTTTTGCATGTATTAAAGTATGAGAATAGGTTTTCCCCTTTTTTCTGGCAACAAAGCAGGTGTTAAAATGTTAAAAACACCAAACTGAAACCTTTTACAAGGAATCATATCTGCATTAGCCCACAATACTTGTGGTCAGAATGCAAACAAAAACATACTCTGATAATAGATGCATTGTCTTTGAAACTGATTGGACCACACCAGAGACAGCTTTCTTTGAAGCCTAGTTTCAAAAGGTGTTAGACCTAACAAAACAGACCTAACAAAACAGGTGTTAGACCTAACACCTTTTGAGACTAGGCTAAAAAGAACGCTGTCTCTGGTGTGGACAAATCAGTTTCAAGGACAATGAATTTATTATCAGAGTATGTTTTTTAAAATTTGCATTCTGACCACAAGTATTGTGGTTAATGCAGACATAATCTCTTGTAAAAGGTTTCAGTTTGGTGTTTTAACATTTTAACACCTGTTTTGTTGCCAGAAAAAAAGGGGAAAACCTATTCTCATATTTTGATACTGGCAAAGGAGGTCCCATGATGTAGTATTAAAGTATACAAAAATAAGAATATGGTTTACCCCCTCTGGCAATGAACCAGGAGGGGTTAAGATATCCAAACGCCAAATAGAAACATTTTGCAAGGAATCATGTTCGCATTAACAACACGTACTTGTGGTGAACATGCAGACACACTTTATTGCAGACTTGATTGCTTATGCCTCAAAAGTACAGCAAATGGCTATTACTTTGCTTTTGTGACCAGGACAGTGGTATTTTGCAATTTACCTATTTTCAATGAGAAAACGTGGTGTGCATTTGTGGCATTCCTTCACATAAAGTCCTGGTCACAAAAGCAAAGTTTGTGGGGAATAATATCCATTTTCTATACTTTTGAGGCATAAGCAATTAGAAGATAACACAACCCAGGGACAAAAATCGTGTTACATAGTGGAACGTGTTTTTTTACATGTTCACCACAACTGCGTGTGTGGCTCATGCAGACTTGATTCCTTGCAAAAGGTTTCTATCTGTTGTTTGACCATGTTAACACCTCCTGTTTTATTGCCAGAAAGGGTAAAACGTATTCTCAGTTTTTCATACACACGGCAAGTCCGGTTTAATCATAACAAGTACCCAAATAAAATACCGTATCACACTGGGGCTCCCCCCCCCCCTTCTTTCACTAACACACGTTGACCAGCGCGGTGAAGTATGGTAAGAAAGAAAACAACAACAACCGTATTGGAGAGGCCCTTTTCCAACAAATTGAGTTAACAATAGGGCTGTCCGTACACAATTTCACAGGGAATGTTACGGGATGTACTGGGATGTAGTACATACCGGTGGTGGTGTAATGAAAACTAAAACTACATTTTTGTACGGTCTTATTGTCAATCGACTGCTGGATAAGGGATTTTCAATGTTGGGGGCAGGGGGGGCGAGTGGTGGTGGTTGCTTGACCATACTTTACCATGACCGTTTGGTGATGGCGTAAATAGAGGACAACATTGTGGCTTTGAAATGTGGATTTTGGAGAAAAGATTCAGCAACGATTAGGGTTGTTGCCATTGTTGGGGTGTTTGGGGGTCTTCTCACAAGTCTGTGTGGAATGATTTTTTTCATAAATTGTCGGTGCATTGCTCGACGCGGAAACAATCTCGAGATGCCCGCATTGGCCTTCGCTGTGGTCTCGATCATGTCATTTACAGCCACTGCGTACAATTCAAGTTACAACTCTGAACACACATTGACACATTCATATACCGCTGCCCCTTCGGCTCTTCGTCTTTCGTATGGCTTGATGTAGGTTGCAGAGGAACAACTTTACTATTTCATATTCGAGCGGTCAAGCCCAGATCACCGTGTCAGGAGCAGCGGCTGGAGTGTATCTTCATCGCTGTGGCGTCTCCTTCGTATCTGTGGATCGGGCATTGCGTGGTTATTCGTTGTACGGTCTGATCTGGATGATCATTAGTCCCACTGACTCAATGCAGCCCATTGCAGTACCGTATGTGCAGACATATATTGAACAGTAGTTTTAGAGACTGATGTACATTGCAGATTCAGTTATACCTCTTAGAAGACACAACCCATAAAACATGGTTAGGTTATTTTTGTACCAAGCTGCCAGACATGCGTGTGAAGCTTCATTAATGATATAAAAAAAGACTTTACAACCATGTTCAACCCCTGTTATGGAATGCTATTGATGTTACTTCATGAAGTTGAATACAGTACTGGGCAAGGAGAGATGTTTCTCCTGCTCATCACAGCGATTCAATGAATTGTCACGAGTTGGGGTCTCGATCTAGTTCAATACACGAATTTTTTTTAGTTGAACCATCTCTCGTTTGCCTC